CCTGTGTTTTCCTCTCAGAGGAATAATTAGAGCGTTTAGGAGCTTCGGCTGCACACGCCGGTCTCTGCAGAGCTGCCGCCGTCGGCGAGGGGAAACACAAACACCGCAAGGTCAGCGATGACTGCCGGTGTCTGAGGCAGGAGGGGGGAGAGAGAGGGAGAGAGGCTGGAGACGGAGGAGAGACGGAGGAGAGACGGAGGAGAGGAGGTCCGCCTGGGAGGCCGTTCGCTGCTTCACCTCCAACAAGATGGATTCACAGAGCTATGAGTCCGGTAGGAGGCCGCTTCTTAATTTCTGCCTCTGGTAGACAGAGATGGAGGCCGAAGGGTCAGTGGACGAGCCGCTCTGCCCGCCATCGATCTACTCCTCCACTGAGGCCCGTTAGCCAATCAGCAAGCTGGTTCCGCCTGACTGGCGCACCTTGAGACCAATCAGAGAGGCGCGGAGGCCAGGTAGCCGTAGCGAGGAGAGACGAGCCGCTGATTGATGGTGATGATGATGATGGTCTAACTGCTGTTTCATGGCCTCCCGTCTGACTGAGGATTAACTCTAAAGGTTAAGCAGGAGAAAAACATGGCGTCTCCGTTTTGTTGCTCTGAGAAAAGCAGTTTAAACTTTTAGAAAGGATCGATTTAGTCCCGTCTCTAAACCCAGTGGTTTACGTTTACAGTGAGATCATCCGAACTTATCCATGTCTGGATGTTTTCAGAGGAATAAATGTGGAAACGTTTGTCTGGTAAATGAGTTGGATCTGCTGACGTAACTCATTATTTATATTTCAGTCCCATTTGGCCTGTTGGTGCTTTAATGCCTTAATGGTTTGATTTTATGTTTTTCTTTAGCTGATGAGAATTTCAAGGCTTTCTGGTCTTAAAAACGTGACGAATCTGTTCTGATATTTTCCATTTATATGTGAGGAAAGTATTTCTCCCTACAGGTTCTTGAGTTTTTATGTGTAAAAGTTTCAGATCATGAACCAGAGGAATAAATACATTAGTCATTTCTATCCAGAGAGGAGTTATTCAACCAGCCAGGTTCCAATAGTAAGTCCCTTTGAGATCCTGTAGCGTTATAAAAACAAATTCTTCGGATCGGTTTCACAGAAATTTGTGTTCAGTTGAACTGGCACAAATCAGCCGTTTGGAACATGCCAAACCCACAGGGGGCAGTATAGTGCAGAGCCACACATCAACCAATCAGACTGCTTCAAAGCGGCTCCTGCTTCCTGCTGCAAAGTAAACATGGCGCCGGGAAGTTCAGATGGACGTTTGAGTTACGTTTAAATACCGAATATAAAGTTAGTAAAACAGCAGAAAGTGTTTGTTGGGAATCGGCAGGCGGATCGTTCAGCTTGTAAACAATAATTTCATTTATTATGAAATCACTCCACAGTTTTTTGTTTCCAATAGTGAATGTGATGTGGCAGAAGACGACGTCTGTAAGGGAGCAAGTGGTTTTTCCCAGGTGTGTTTGGAGCGCTGCTCCTCCTGGCGTTGATGTTTGCAGGCCAACCTGAGCATGAAGGACGGCGCCGCTGTTTGGACGCCGTCCTTCAGCTGCAGCCTGACAGATGTTTGATTGGCAGCGCGGCTGAAAACACAGGAGGTCATCTGATGCCTTTCACGCTTAATTAAGTCCCTCCCATCCGTCCCCTTAGCTCACCGAGAGTCAGACGGACAGATTTCCTTCTGTCTTTGGGAGACGGGCGTGTTATTCCCAAACCAAAGCTGGGTTACATGCCTGCAGAGGGAAGAACAAATAACTTATTTTTAGGATGGAAACAAAACTTGGATGTTATTTGTGCCAGAATCCTGGTTTAAAGTTAAATTGAAGAGAAGTTTGGTAGCTTTCCACATTAAATTGCTGTAAACTGAGACAACGCCGCTTCCCAGAATCCTCGGCTCCTGGAGTCGATTTTCCAGGATGAACTTTGCAATCACTCAGTGTGTCCCGCTCATTTCATGCAGTCTGGTCTGAATTCAGCAGCTTGACGCTTCCTCAGCAGTTTCCTCTGCAGGTTTATTATGGGATGGCTTTGTTTGACGGACCGATCCAGTCCGTCTTCCTCTGACCGTTTCTGCCTCACTGCGACTAGCAGACCCAGAAAGATGACTTGTGATTTAAACTCATTGATGTGATCAAAACTTAGAACAAAATTACAAACGGATGTGCCGTTGCCATGGAAGCAGAGATGTTTTTGTCCTGATTTTCTCCGTTTTGTCTTTACAAGACGGCAGGAGATGCATTTTTATTAGTTTGTAACAAAATGGGAAAATTCAGCCCCTCACATCAGATTCTGCTCAGAGGGAAACAGATTTTTCTCTGATTCTCAAAGGAGAAATCAGAAGAAAACATGTTTTATGTTATTTATCCAACATCGTTTTGTTTTGAATATTAGTTCAGATCTGCATTTAGGTACATTTTTATGTTTCACGGAAAATCCATAATGTAAGAGAGGAGTCTCCTTGAATAAGTTTTGATTTGATGTGTTGCATTCTGATTGGTTATAATTGAGTGGAAGGAAAAACTCCAGAAAGCACCAGAATGTTTCTGATGAATAAATATTTTTTTCTCTAAAGGCTGCAGCCGTGATTACGTTAGTTATCAGTTATTCTGATGTAACTGGAGGAAAAATGATCTTCCAGTGAAAAGTTGATCACAAATGATCTGCAGATGAAAAAGCTCAACCCTTTGATCTGTCAGTGGTTAATAATTGGATGCAAATGGAGATTATTGATTATTTTACAGAATCTGAAGCAGGTGAATCTGGAGCTGCTGCAGGAGGAGCTCAGATTACAGACTGAAGATTTTTTCACCTTAATTGTTTATTTTGTACCGTTTTGGCTTAATTAATGGTGTGAGTCCATGAATTTGCATCGTTAGCAAATTATAGATCAATATTCTCCAGTTTAATTTACTAAATTAGTCGACAGTTGTTTAATAATCAGTTTGATCATTTCAGACGTTTGTTGGTTCTGCACCAGAACATGAGGATCATTTTAAAGGTTTATGTCGCTTCATCTCGTCAGGTTAGCCGCCGTTCTCCCCCCTCCCCCACCAGTTTCTGGTTGTGCTTCGGTTTATCTCCTGTCGGTCTTCAGGGTTTGTTGACCAGATCTCATTATTTCGGCTGCAGAGACTCACTGGATGGAGGGATGGAGGAGGGAGAAGTGACTTTAAATTGGTCTCATTTGTCTCTCTGCAGCCAGCCGTCCTTCCCTCCGTCTCCTGGCTCCCCGTGGGCCTCTTTTCATCCTGCCCTCCTCCTCATCCCTCCATCCATCTCCTCCTCCCTTCACCAGTTGCTCTGCCCTCATGGTGGCTGTAATTTGCCGGTCGATGGATGGCCGCTGTCGCCCCGCCTGGCTCAGCGAACGGACCGCGGCGCCTGGCTTTAGAGCGTCTGAAGGGCCGGATATCGCCGGGATCGTTATGAACCCGACCTCCCTGATCCGGAGCAGCAGAACCTGCTGGTTCTGAAGCTTCTTTACTGACCTGAGCAATAGACATTATGAATCCAGGGAACCTGCAGAGAGGAGTTATGGTTAGAAAGTTTTTTGTTTTTCCTCTTTTTAAAGGGACAGTATCAGATATTATCCAGCCACACAGAGCCATTTTATAACATTATCAAGTTATTACATTAGCTTAAACTGTTACATAAAAAAATGTGACGTGATTCAATGCCTTGAAATTGGGTCTCTGTCCCTTTAAGAAGCTCTTTCTGAAGCTCCGCCTCCAGGAAGTGATCATTAATCTTTTAGCGATGTGTTTACCAGCGCTGCTCTGAGCGCTAGCTCCTGTTTGGAGCTCAGCAGCTCCACCAGAGGTTTGCTAATCGCTGCTAGCGAGTTTGGAGGAGCCGAGGGGAGGAGCTGCGCCTCGAAGGCGGGGCTAGGGCCACCCAGGCATCCATGGAGATTATAGGACTTCTCAAACATGCATTACTTGCTTCTTTCATCAACTTTTTGTTTTAGAAATGATCTGTTAGATTAGTGGGTGTTTTGTATTTCAGTTGGAGGAACTCGGTCGCGCTGTGTGATAACGGCACAAGTCAGTGAACAGCTTTCAGGTTGAAGTTGGTGAAAGTTTCAGAAGCGGTTGGTGTTTGCAGAAACGTGGGGTCAGGATGAGCAGCAGCAGATTTATGCTCCATCGTCTCCGTTTGCCTCAAGTGAAAACGGGAGCAGCCATTCCAGCCGAGCCGCCGGATCCATAACCGTTATTCATCCCTTCATTCGTTTGGCTTATTAACTCGCAGCTGTTTCAGATTTATTTGTGTGGACTGAATAATATAAACTCTCTCTGCCTATAAACGCTGTGACCTGTCACCTTCGTCTTAATAAAGCAGCGGGATGAGATGAGATGGTGGTGATGATGATGATGATGGTGATGATGATGGTGATGGACTGAGGCAGATTTTGGAGCCTGTTGTTTCTCTAAAGAAACGATCTCAGCTTTCATAATGTCACCAGTGGAACCAGCTGATCTCTTCCTGTTTGGATTTGTCCCACGGAAATCGTCGATCTTCATGGACGACCTGAAGTCTCCTCTCCGCCCACCGAGCCGAGCACAGAGAGGCTGTTTGGTTTCTCTGGTCCTGTTGGAGGTATTAACCAGCAGGAGGGGACCACGTTTTTAATCTTTTAGATTATGTGCCTCTGGTGGTTTGGGCTTAGATTAAAGCGCCTGGCTCCGCTGGGGGAGCTTTGCTCCAATGCTGTGCTCCAGTGTTTGTTTAAAACCGGTTTCTACCAGGAACAAGCAGCAAGTGGTTTTACTCTGGATGTGAGGAGGTTTCAGAGTTTTAGTCATTGTTTTGTTCTGGCGGTAAACCTGAAAAAATCCAAGTCAGACTCCAAAGGTTGGAGAATCAAAACCTGACAAAGAGAAATTCTATTTTTTCACATAGTTTGTTTGGCTGTAAACATCAAAAACTCCCAATTAACAAATTCCTCTCGACTGTTTAAGATGGAGACGTTTTTGTCCTGGTTGTTGCCAATCACCGCTAAGCTGGACATGATCCCAGATCCTGTCCTGAAGACAAACATAACTTCAGGATGTGGAAACGTCACCAGGAGGTGAGGAGCTCGTTTTAAAACATGGATGGTGCTGAGCAGAAATCCAACATCTCCTGAACATGACACGTCTACAGCAAAGGCACCAATCGCCACGATTCGATTCAAAGCCAGGCTTCTTGCATCTACTGGACATTTGGATTAAAAGGTGACGTTTTGCTGTGGAGATTTGGCTACATGTTTTAATTTTGGATGTAAAAGTTAATAAACTCTACAGGTTGAGACCAGGTGCGTTTCCAGCACTGATTAAATAAAATTAACCTTCAGTAATTATTATTTACATACATAAAGGAAAAACATCTCAGTTGCTTAAAACTACTTTAAAACTTCGGTTCTAAGTAGTTCAGTCTGGTTAATTTTTTGCAGATTTTTCAGAGGTCAGGAATTAAAACTGAAGCTTTGTTACAGTCAAAACTCAAAAAGTTTGGACCCTGATCAGTCAGATATGAACGTTTGTCATCATTTGTTTATGGTTTGCATCTGATTTGCGTGGAAATCGGCCGCACTGCGTTGAGCCGAAGCCTCTCCGGTTCCAGAGTTTCCCTTCACCTCGTGTTGGATCACATTTTCCTGTGAACAACGCGGCCGGTAACCCGAGCCGCCGCGGCCGGGCCGGCACCACCGAGCAGAGGCTCGTCTTCCGCCTCGCCCAGCGAGGTAACTCCAGGTGATCCGAGTCACACGGGCCACGGCTCGAGCCGATTGGCTGAGCCTGCCGTCCGTCACGCAGGTGAAGCCGGACCGGCAGCAAAGTCTGAAGGTGTGGCAGATAGACACATGGTCTCACCTGGGGAGGTAGAAACCAGGATCTGCATGGTTTTAGATGTTTACCGTCTTCTGAAGATCTGCAGCAGAGTTACTGTCACCGTCTGCCTGAGGAGTGAAACCTTTTCCCATCATGTCGTCTCTCTGCGACGTTTTGAGGAGATACAGGCAGGTTCCTCAAACCGAGGCGGACGGAGCGTTCAACTACAACCGGGCCTCAAACAGGCGAGGATTCCTGAACGCCGGTAGGTCCATTAACCTTCAGGCAACGCACAAATTTCACTGAGGTCCTGGAAGGTTGGCGTCGTGTCGGGCGTCGTGTCGGGCGTTTCTCGGCGTCGCCTGCATCAGATGATTAAGTCATGAAGGAGGAGCTGGTTCATGTGTTCAGGGTCCTGAAGGTCACTTGGTTGAACCCAGAGTTAAAGCTTCAGATCAAGATACTTCTGCTCAACAGAAATGCTTTAAACAAAACTATGAAGAGTTCAAAATGTTCTGAATTGTCTTTGTTCAGTCAGTGAACACAACCTGCTGCCTTCAGCATCGCCTTCGTTTCACCTCAGAAAGATTCACGGTTCGTGAATGAAAAGTCTCAACATTCAGCCCATCTGGTCTCCGGCTGGTGACCGGATGAATGACGAAGAGGTCGTCTGGGTTTCAGCATGTTGGAACTTACTTTACATTTTGCAGCGCTGCAGGTATTGCATCTCCGTCCTGCTGCGTTGACTGATGACAGATTCGATCGGCTGTAATCGTTTCCCTCGGCCGGCTGGATGAATCTGGTCGCTGTAATCCATCAGTCTTCTGCTGCGCGTCGGGATTATGCCGTCCTCTCCTCGCAGATTCGTCAGCGGACACTAAACCTGATGCATTGCCTCGGTTACCGTATCGAAGGCATGAAGCTCGTTTTCTGCTGCTGGCGAAACAAACAACCGAATCCAGTCGTTGTTGTCATTCAGCTCCCAGTTACAGTCGAAGGTCAGATTTTCATCATAAACGCCGAACGATTCAGATTACTGACGGTAATGTTGGCCTGAAAAATGTGATGTACTTTTTAAAAATCCTTGTAAATTTTCCACTAACATTTTCCAGTAGATACAAGCTCCTAACTCTTGTATCTAGTAAATTATATTAATCACACAACTAAAGATTCTTGAATAATTAGACCAATTTTACTCTTGTCTTGTTTCATGTACTCGATCAAAATACATAAAATCGACAAACGTTTTTCTCAAAAGATTAATAACATTCAAGTATTAAGTAAATGTTTTACCGTGTTTTGTTTTTCAGATGATTTATTTAAAAATGTTTTAAATCCAACTGAATTGTTTTTAATTTTACCAGATAATGTAATTAACATACCACTTTCCAAATAAATTGGAATAAATTTTTACACATAAAATAACAAAATGGTAGAAGTCAAACGTTTGTACCAGAAACAAAGTTTCTCTTAATTATCCTTTACAAAAAAATCCTTCAGACTGGAAGGACTGGATTCTTTAAACCAACCAGTTCAAATAAATTTTACCAGTTCAAATGGACTCGACCAGTGTTGCCAGGGAAACGGATCAGATATAAAATAAATGATCCCAGAATCTCGTTGATCAATGAAAACGTTGACTTTTAGAGCTGCATCTTGACGGTGCTTTAGGCCAGCTTGACGGTGCTTTAGGCTAGCTTGACGGTGCGCTAGGCTAGCTTGACGGTGCGCTAGGCCAGCTTGACGGTGCGCTAGGCCAGCTTGACGGTGCGCTAGGCCAGCTTGACGGTGCGCTAGGCCAGCTTGACGGTGCGCTAGGCCAGCTTGACGGTGCGCTAGGCCAGCTTGACGGTGCGCTAGGCCAGCTTGACGGTGCGCTAGGCCAGCTTGACGGTGCGCTAGGCTAGCTTGACGGTGCGCTAGGCCAGCTTGAAGCTGCGCTAGGCCAGCTTGACGGTGCGCTAGGCTAGCTTGACGCTGCGCTAGGCTAGCTTGACGGTGCGCTAGGCCAGCTTGACGCTGCGCTAGGCCAGCTTGACGCTGCGCTAGGCCAGCTTGACGGTGCGCTAGGCCAGCTTGACGGTGCGCTAGGCTAGCTTGACGGTGCGCTAGGCTAGCTTGACGGTGCGCTAGGCTAGCTTGACGGTGCGCTAGGCCAGCTTGACGGTGCGCTAGGCCAGCTTGACGGTGCGCTAGGCCAGCTTGACGGTGCGCTAGGCCAGCTTGACGGTGCGCTAGGCCAGCTTGAAGCTGCGCTAGGCCAGCTTGACGGTGCGCTAGGCTAGCTTGACGCTGCGCTAGGCTAGCTTGACGGTGCGCTAGGCTAGCTTGACGGTGCGCTAGGCCAGCTTGACGGTGCGCTAGGCCAGCTTGACGGTGCGCTAGGCCAGCTTGACGGTGCGCTAGGCTAGCTTGACGCTGCGCTAGGCCGGCTTGAAGCTGCGCTAGGCCAGCTTGACGGTGCGCTAGGCCAGCTTGAAGCTGCGCTAGGCCAGCTTGACGGTGCGCTAGGCCAGCTTGACGGTGCGCTAGGCCAGCTTGCCATTAGCGCCTGCAGAGCAGTAAAACCTCCCAGATTTTCCGATTTCCTCTGCTGGAGCCTCATCATGTCTGACAGAAATTCTCTGTTTCAGGTCAAACACAATAAATAAACTTCATGAATGTTCAACATTTCTTTCTGCTTCAGCCTTTTGAAGTCCAGACTTTTACTTCCTGCTGAAATCCCGTCGGTGTTGATGTGGCATTGCCGCCGGCTGCTGCCAGTCATGACCAAGCTCTGCTCTGGCGGTTCTGCCTGAACGGTGTTTTATGAAGTCGTCTTTAACGAAGCGTTTCTGGAGCAGTAAGTCGCTGAGTGCCTGCTGGGAAGCGAAGCAGAGGGATTCTTTTCTCCCGCCTGGCAGCAGAAATCCGTTTCTTCCTTTTTGGTATTCGCGTCGCGACTTCAGCCGTCTCGGGTTCAATCGATTCATCTGTTGAGCTGAGCTCACCTCATCGAGCCGCTGTTGACCTTTGACACTTTGAAGAGAGGAGGAATCGCTGCACAAATTTATTTTGTTTTAAAAGTTTCTGGATCTTTGATTTGAGAAAACATTTTCAGGAATGAAAATCTTTAAAACATCCATGGAAATATTTAAATTTTTTCCCCATTCCTTTTTCTGCTCAACCATCTTTATTTATTCCATTTTTCTCTTTTAATTTACGTCATTTATTTTGCCTTATTGTTCCCTTAAAGCCCAATAATTTACATTTATTTTACAATTGCAAAATGTGTTTCCTTATTGATTTATTTATTGATTTACTGAATTTAATCAGTAACCTTGTGGTAATTATGATCCATCTGATCTGCAGATGGATCATAATAAGCTATATTATGGCAGAACGTCTGTGGGTTCTGCCTCGGCCTCCGGTCGACCCGCCGTCGACCCGATCCTCGCCGTGACTCTGACTCATCGCTGCTTTTTGACTCACTGAACTCGTTCGTGTTGGGAGTCGGGTGGCGGCCGCTGCAGACGAAGTCGGGCTGATGTGTGGATGAGTCATGATGGGCTGGCGGATCCAGAACCGGTTTTGGTTCTGCAGGTTTTTAAACTGCAGCAGGTTCTGTTGGTTCTGATCCAGCATGTCTGTTTGTCTCGTTTCCAGGAGTGTGTGGCTGCTGCGGGCCCCTGAGGCCCCGCTACAAGCGTCTGGTGGACAACATCTTCCCAGAGGATCCCAAAGTGAGTCCAACAAGGTTCTGCACTGGGTGTCCAACTGAGGCCCGCGGGCCGGCTGAGGCCCTTAAAGTGATTCTGTTAGGGCCCCGACCACAAGTTAAATCTGGTGAAAATGTTTGGCCAACAAAATGGAAAACCGTTGGATTTTTAATAATTTGCAGATTTTATAAAAATTTGCAGCTAAAAAAGAAAAAAAAATCACAGTTAACAAATGTTTGCTTTGTAATGAATTTTGTCAGTAGTTTTATTTTTCAGCTTTTGTCCATCAGGGCAAAAAGTTTGGACATTTCTGTTTTGAAGCTGCAGTGTAACTTTTATCAAACATATTTTTAAAAATATTTTTGTTGAAACTGTCGTCATGTTAAGAGACTGATAATCTGAGAAAAGATCGAGCTTCTCTGCCTATGCCAATTAGAGAGAACCAATCAGAGCCAGGAGGCGGTTCTTAGTGCTGTCAATCATTCCCCAAGCTAGCAGTCTGTCATTAATGCTAAGGCTAGTTAGCATAGCCACCGATGACATTTGATGAACAACTTTCCTGAATTGTTGTTTCTGCTCCACTAGCGCGTTTAGCAGGGTGTTGATTGACAGCGCTCAGCCCCTCCTCCTGGCTCTGATTGGTTGTTTCTGGTGCAGATGGGAAGATCAGCTCAGGAAGCAGGAGGTCGATGTTTTCACAGATTATCCTCATACTGTCTGCACATGGCCACAGATTTAACAAATATGTAAAGAACATGTGGTTTTATAAGTCAGGTACTGCAGCTTTAAGGTTTTAATCTGTTTTATTCTGAATTACAGGTAAAGTTTAGGTTTAATTATCACATTTAAAAGCTAATGAAATATCAAGCGGTAGATCTGAGCGTCGTCGGCGTATAAATGAGCAGGAAGTTAAACTCTGAGGCTCTGGGAGGAATGTTTTGCCGTCTGGACCGACCGTTTTCTCCGCTCTGCTTCCTGCCAGGATGGCCTCAGTAAGTCGGACATGGAGAAGCTGACGTTCTACGCGTGTCGGCGCCGGAGAAGCTGGACCGGATCGGGGCGTACCTCGCCGACCGGCTGAGCAGAGACGTGGTGCGGCATCGCTACGGGTGAGGAGTCGGTCCAAACGAGCCAGGCCAGAACCTGCGGTCTGGGTCTGATGGCAGCCATCTTGCCTGTTGCGGGTTGCAGGTACGTGGTGATCGCCATGGAGGCGCTGGACCAGCTGCTGATGGCGTGCCACTCCCAGAGCATCAAGCCCTTCGTGGAGAGTTTTCTGCACATGGTGGCCAAGCTGCTGGAGTCCAGAGAACCGGACCTGCAGGTTCTGGGAACAAACTCGGTAAGCAGCGCCACCATCGGGTCACACACAGGTTGTCACTGCTCTGGAGTGACGGAAACTCAATTTCTTTCTCCTTTAAATCTCCTGTAGAAACCAGTGAAGCTTCAATACAATAAATGGCTTTATGGAAAATTAATGTGCCAAATGTTGCATCCAAAAATAAAAAAATAAGAATTTTCAAGTTATTGTTTTAATTTTCCATTTTGTTTTCAATTTATTGCTTTTATTTTTTCATTAATTGAGAAAAAGAAATTATAAATAAGACAAAACTGGATGAATCAAAGTAAAAAGTAGAAATATTAGAGGCAAAATTCAAAGTAGGATTTAAGAGTGACAGTAAAATACGGCATGCAGAATATTGAAAACCTAATAAAATGTGACAGTAAATACTATTTTTTATGAAATGCATGAAATAAGAATGAGAAACATTAATAATTAAATAAAAAGGGAAAATTAAATTTGAAGAAAAATGGAAAAATCCAATAGAGTCAATGTTAAATTAATACTATTGAAAATGATCTGATTTTTTACTTTTTAGGTGAAATATTAGCCATTTATTTCTCTCTTGCCAGTTTTGGCAGGATTAGTCCTCCATATCCTGACCAGGAGCAGCAGAGACTAAAACATGGAGGACGGTTTATAGATCAGAACCACCTGATGATGATCCATCAATCTGGAGGTTTTTAGGAGAGGCAGCGATGCCGCAGCAGCAGCAGCGATGCCGCAGCAGCAGCAGCGATGCCGCAGCAGCAGCAGCGATGCCGCAGCAGCATCTGGAATGACCTTACAGACGTTCCTGCTCTTCATGCTGCAGAAATCGAACTGCTGCTGGCGGTAAAAAAAACAAGCAGGCTGTGAAGTGAAGCTTCATTTTTAACTGTTTGTTAGCAGATATTAAAATCTCCTGAGTTTTTTTTTTCGTCCCTGGATCAGGAGAAGCGAGGCTGCTTTTGCTATAATTGCACTTTAATGTTTGCCTCCATGTGCTGCGCAATAAATCCCAGAAAATATGAGCTCATAATCCACAAAGTTAGCTATTAAACTGAAACTTATTACCGTATTTTTACGAAATGGGCTGAATCTGTCAGTGGGCTGCAGCCCAGACGCTGGTGGAGGTTTAAGAGCTGATTCTGCTCTCGTTGTGGCCCAATAACACACAGAGGAAATCGTCCTAACGCTGCTTCCAGATCTGTTTCCTCCAAGTCCTCTGAAGGTGAAACAGAAGTAGTTTCCTCGGTTCTGTCATCCTGGCTATTGTTGGCGCTCCATCTGAGCCGCGGGTTCAGATGGACCTGCATTATTTATGTGTGGTATTTATTCTGTGACAGAGGAGAACCGATGCAGAACCGCGGCAGTTAGATTTTCCCATGGTGGTCGCAACACATCTGCTTCACTTTGCTCTGGTGGTTCAGGAAGGCTGCGCTGCTTCCAGTCCATCATCACCAGTTTAGTTGATTTAGTTTTTCTAAACATTGTTTTTGTTGCTGCGATCTCAGATTTGTCAAAGAAGAACCAAAAACACAGAAACAGAAAAAAACTGAAACGACGCCATCCTAACAGAAATATCTTATCAGCTGCGTTTCCATTACAAATATCTGCTGATGATTAAAAAAACCAATTTCCCATTTGCTATGTTTCCATTAAATAAGAAATTAAATTATCTCTTGTGAATAAACTTGTTTGGAGAATAAGTCATTAAAAATGACAGACATAAACAATTACATGAGATGCATTCTTGATTCAGCCATAGCACTCATCATCCATCAGCCAATCACAGGAGACCGTCAGGCGTTGGAGCATCAAGCCCCGCCTACTTTGAGCGGCTACATAAAATCTGGTCGGTGATTTTCCAGGAAAGCTTTGGATTCATCACGTTGGAATAAAACGAACTTTTTTTGAGCTGAGATTTCATGAGAGCTCTGAAAAAAACTAAACAAAACCATCGTCCTCTGACCACTTCCTGTCGTCGTCTTCGATGTTTCCAGCAGTAGTAACATCCGGCTGTTGATCATGTGACTCATATGATGCGAAAAGTGTCTCCATTGCAGTTTTGTGAAATAAATTTTGATGCAGCTGAAAAACCGTCCTTATGCGAACCCAAAAGCGTTTCATCAAGAAAACGTGTTTTTTTAAAATGCTGCGTTTCCGTTGAGCAAATTTATTATTTTGACTCCAATTTGCACAATTCCATAGTTAATGGAAACGCAGCTACAGTTGGGTTTGCTGCTAAGTGGATGAAGGTTCAGGTTTACCTTCAAGCTTCAGAAATCAGAAATGTTCCTGTCGATGTTGCGGCACCCACACTGCGTGTGGGCGCCGTGCAAAAAGGGCGCCAGATCCATTTGTGTAAATGATGTGATGCATCATTCACATGCAAGATGATGATGTTTAACTTTTCTTTGGATGCAATTTGATCACATTTGTTTATTCTTTTATTCTCTTTACACATTTTGGCTTCTTTAAAAGGTAAAATGAGAGAAAGATCCGGATCTGTTCTGCACGTCTGCTGCTGTTTCACTGCTTTATATAGAAAACATTTTATGACCAGTTGAACTGTTTCGAACAAGGCTCCTTACATTTCAATCTGTGCTGCAAATCTGTTGTTTTTAAAGTTTTTCTATGAGAAGGTGACCCAGGAGAGGGAAAACAAGTCGTGGTGGGAGGAGGTGATAAATCACTCCACAGGCAGCAGAACAATGATTCTTATTAAAACCCAAACATCTATCTTTGCTGTACTCCTACCAGCTTATGTCCAGGGCTCTTATGTCCAGCTTCACATGCATTTTGTCGTTTCCTGCATCTTCTGTCATCTGTCTCTGTTAATGAGTCCAATGTTCAGCGAGTTAATAACCTGGACGTGATGTTTCATACCTAATTTATCAACGTTGGTTGACAAATTAGGTATAAAACATTTGATCTTTAAGATTTTGCTCCAAAAATTCCCACAATAAAATCAGAGTTCTGGTTTTCTGTCCATAATTAATCCCTAAATTACAGAAATTCAGATTTTAAGCACCGCAGTGACTCTGTAACATGAACTCCTGACTAAAGTCCATTTGTTTCCTTCTGTTGGCTCCGTCCTCCTGCGGTTTCACACGTTTCCACTCAGATGGTCAGCAAAGTGTCGGCTCCATCATCGCAGCTATTATTAAACCACAGAAATCACTTTGTTTCTGATGTTTCAGAACTAAACTCTGTTAAACTGTTATTAATGTACGAAAAAATTGATTCCTAATTTTTTAGTATGTAAAGAATCACTTTAGCATCACTGCAATTTACAAATGTATACATAAAAGCAGTAACACAACTATAAATCAGGATCATTGTTAAAAACATAATTTTACTTTATTTGGTAAAATTAACTTCTACAGTAACGCCTTGAACATTAAAATATGAAAATCGCTTCACTTATGGAAAAATTAATAATTAGATTGAAAGTGTTGAAATGCCTGAACGTTACTGCAACTTGCAGCATTTTTACTGGAATATTACCTGAACCGGGTGGGTAATTATACAGGAGCTCCTCCCCCCAAGACAGTCAGGCTCCTCCCCCCAAACGGTCGGGCTCCTCCCCGCAAACGGTCGGGCTCCTCCCCCAAGACAGTCAGGCTCCTCCCCCAAAACGGTCGGGCTCCTCCCCCAAAACGGTCGGGCTCCTCCCCCCAAACGGTCGGGCTCCTCCCCGCAAACGGTCGGGCTCCTCCCCCAAAACAGTCAGGCTCCTCCCCCAAGACGGTCGGGCTCCTCCCCTCAAACGGTCGGGCTCCTCCCCGCAAACGGTCGGGCTCCTCCCCCAAAACAGTCAGGCTCCTCCCCCAAGACGGTCGGGCTCCTCCCCCAAAACGGTCAGGCTCCTTCCCCCAAGACAGTCAGGCTCCTCCCGCAAACGGTCGGGCTCCTCCCCCCAAAGCGGTCGGGCTCCTCCCCCCAAAACGGTCGGGCTCCTCCCCCCAAAACGGCCAGGCTTCTCCCCCAAAGCGGTCAGGCTTCTCCCCCAAAACGGTCGGGCTCCTCCCCCCAAAACAGTCAGGCTCCTCCCCCAAGACGGTCGGGCTCCTCCCCCCAAAGCGGTCGGGCTCCTCCCCCAAAACAGTCAGGCTCCTCCCCCAAGACGGTCGGGCTCCTTCCCCCAAGACGGTCGGGCTCCTTCCCCCAAGACGGTCGGGTTCCTCCCCGCAAACGGTCAGGCTCCTCCCCCAAAACAGTCAGGCTCCTCCCCCAAGACGGTCGGGCTCCTCCCCGCAAACGGTCGGGCTCCTCCCCGCAAACGGTCGGGCTCCTCCCCCAAAACAGTCAGGCTCCTCCCCAAGACGGTCGGGCTCCTCCCCCCAAAACGGCGAGGCTTCTCCCCCAAAACGGCCAGGCTTCTCCCCCAAAACGGTCGGGCTCCTCCCCCCAAAACGGTCGGGCTCCTCCCCCCAAAGCGGTCGGGCTCCTCCCCTGAAATGCTCAGGCGTCTTGCATCAGAACTTGCAGGTCCACGTGCCAGATAGATGGCGGAGGGGTTGTTTCAGGTCCTGATGTGATGAAAATGGGTAAACTTTTATCGTTTGCTTGTTTGAAAGCTCGATTTTCTCTGCCTGAGAACACGACCAGATTAAAGCGTCCCTGTTGCTGATAGTCGGCGCCGCGGATCGAGGAAAGCTGATTTCCTGCGGAGATAATTCTGAGTTTGAGTGAAAATGTCAAGAGACTCGTTTTAAAATCCTCCATAATTGGCAACTAATCTTTTTCTCAAATATTTTTCATGTTTTTCACAACTAAAATCCATATTAATGTCTGAGATGAAGAGGACAAACTCCCCCTGTAGGACATAAAAAGCCTCACATAATTAGTTCCTGTTTCATCTTTTCATCATTTCTTTCATTTTCAGGTTTTTTGAAGCAATTTTAGGAGTAAAAAAATTCAGATGTCTTTATTTATGTCTCCTGCCTGCGAGTCGACTGTCAGACCAGCTGATGGGAACATCGCAGGCTGATAATGGTTGGTTTCTCTGTCATGGCTAAAATGGATGCTGCTTCATTATACCAATTAACTTGCATAATAAAGTTAAAACCAGCCCATTTCACTCGACGGCCTTAATGCCTTCTCATTTCAGCCGGGAGGAAACAGAATCAGAGGTTAAACTGCTCTGCCATCCAGCAGCCTGAATTATCCTCACTGCTGCTGTTCAGCCACAATCACCTCTTAGCAGAAGAATCATTAGCGAGAGGACGCCTTTTGCTCTGACTGTAACGTTTTCACTGCTGGTGGAGCGTCAGCGAGTCGCTGCTTCCACCAGCCGTTATGGTTTGAGGAGCTGGAGCTGCTGCCGGGTCGTAGCGCCACAAAACGGGTCTGAAAACGAAACGCGCAGGTTGCGGTCTCAGTATTTTTACAATGAATGGACCTGGTTCTGCTGCGGTCGGACCTGGTTCTGATTCTCTTTCCCTGCTGTTTGGCTGTTGCAGTTTGTGAAGTTTGCCAACATCGAGGAGGACACGCCTTCCTACCATCGCCGCTACGACTTCTTCGTCTCCCAGTTCAGCGCCATGTGCCACTCGACTCACGAAGACCCGGAGACCAGAACCAGGTGAGTCCAGAACCAGACCAGAACCAGGTGAGTCCAGAACCAGACCAGAACCAGTTGAGTCAAGAACCAGACCAGAACCAGGTGAGACCAGAACCAGTTGAGTCCAGAACCAGACCAGAACCAGGAGAGTCCAAAACCAGATCAGAACCAGGTGAGTCCAAAACCAGGTGAGTCCAGAACCAGGTGAGTCCAGAACCAGGTGAGTCCAGAACCAGACCAGAACCAGGTGAGTCCAGAACCAGGTGAGACAAGAACCAGGTGAGTCCAGAACCAGGTGAGCTGAACTTTGGCTCCAACTGACTCGACTTCAGAGGGATTCACCTTGTTTTTATTTTTCTTACTGTGTAAAAATTAAAGCCTAACAAAATAACTTGTGTTGTTCCACATGGTTGATTATTAGGCCTTCTGATGTTTATTATTCAATAATTCAGTTATTTACTAACAGTATAATGTGAGTTTGTCAGACTGGTGGACGCTGGACCCCCCTGGGTTGGGTTCATGTTTCTGAGTCAGTCAGGGTTCAGTTTGAGTCGAAGCTTCATGTTCAGGGATGAAGGAGCGACAGATTAAAACCTTGTGATCCGTATTTCACCTGCCGCTGTGTAAACAGCGTTATAGTGAGAATCAGACCAGACAAGAGCTAAAGTCACATGGCGTCACATCCTCTGAAAACTGCCATAAAGAAATAAATTCACTGTGATCTCAGTGTTTAAGCATAAATAAGACACAAATTGTCTCTTCTTCTGTTTTGAGCTTCGTTCTCTCCGTCGGTAATCAGCTGATTCTCGGCTGCAAGGCTGAGCTGAACATCCAGACGTGTTGAAACCGGATTTCTGACGGAGGAAACGGGTCGCGCTGCCGCTAATCTGAATCCAGCACGGGAGAATAATTAGTCATCTTCAGAGGCGAGGGAAGGTTATTTAGAGAAGTGAGGATTAAAACCCGAGGAAAAACATTCAAAGAAACCAAACATGCCTTTTAGAGAAACGTTAATCCTCAAATAAAAGAGCCAGGCAGAGTCTGCATGCAGACCCAACATTTGGACATTTGGACGGTTTGGTTCCCCAGGGAAACTGAACACGGGATTCTTATCGCTGCTGAACAGAAACAAAAACTGGGCAAAAACCTTTCATCTCAGAAAAGACGAAATCAAGTTGAAGATTCTTTGAGTAACATTCGTTTACTGGTTCTGATCCGGACGAGTCCAGACAGTCAGAGAATCGACTAATCAACTGATTAATACGACTAATAATCATAAACCTGCTAAGGAAACAGTTTGATCGTCACACGAGTCACACGAACAGCAACCGGATGTTACTGCAGGCAGAAACTGTGAAGAAGACGACAGGAAGTGGCAGCATCATGCAAGACATGATGTTTAATGAGTCAGAGTGAAAAAACTTTTAATTGCATTTCTTATTTAATGTAAGTGTTTTTGGCATCAGGAGAATATTAACAGCCTGTGAGATGACTAAACGCTTAGTTTTAGTCTTGAACAATAAAGAACTTTATGTCTATATTGATCATTTATATCAGTATCACCTTTACAGAGAGATTAGAAGAAAACTGAACTTGTTCACTAGTGAATTGTAACTGCAGAAGGTTTGAAGCACCAGTTCAAACCTTCACCTTCCTGTTTCCTGTTTTGGGTAAATATTCCTGCAGCTTCTCTCTGTTTCCCTCATTGAGCAAAGAACAGGAAACAGAAACGTTTCAGGGAAGTGTTGGGCTTCCAGACTAAATATTATTTTATCATCATGTGTTTATATCAACCTAAAGTGACACCATGAACCTGCTTTCTTCAGTGTGACTGAATTAAATCAAATGGAGGTTTTGTTGCTCCTGATCACAGGGAGCTAAAATGGCGGCTGCGCCGGGCGGCTGCTGGCCTCCGCAGAGAGACGCCGTCTGGCGCTAATAAAGATGAGCAGTGGTTGAAAACAATACCTGAAGCCTCTTCTGTCTCATTTACTGAGCGAGAAGCCTGCCGCCTTCAGAGCTGCTCGCTTTATTCGCGCCAGCTGGGACCCAGAGTGGAGGAAACGCTCGGGCGTAAAAATGGACTTTTGTTTCCATGTGTCTGGATGAGGAGGCGGCTGCTGCTTGGGTTTGACTCCATGAGCAGCAGGTTTTGTCCTCCTGCTGCCGACCTCGTCTTCGGTTTAATTGCTCTGAGAGTTTTGTGTCCAGAGCTGAAAGCTAACCTGGTTTCATGGGGTTTTGACTAGGCCAGACTTCTGAGAAACTGTGGGAAAGAGTCTCACTTTGTGTTGGAGCCAATTTGATGCAGCAAATCATTTTAGAAGTTTTTAAACTCATAAGTATTTATATCAAAGGTTATCTGGAGCCACTTTCCTGCATATTCCAGTTTAAATCAAGTTCAGAGGCAATTCAATAAAAACGATTCAGGGAACAAATATCAACTGAAACCAAGTTAAAGGAAAGCTTGCATTAATGCACAGCAGGTTAAGAAAAACCTCATTTATCCTGAAGTGGAAGTTTAAATAAATATCAGAGCATCTTGACTTGAATAAAACAAAGAAGCTGCAGATCAAAACACAATAAAATGAAAAATGTGAAGCTGTTTAAAATGTTCAGTGTCATTAGTGGGAACCTTCCTGCTGATCTATCAGCTCTTCTGCTAACTGCTAAACTTAGAGCTTCTTTAAATTCCACTTTAATTCAGTTCAAATTTAACTTCCAGTTTATTTAGATTCCTCTCAATATTTCCAGTAAATTCCAGTTAAATGGAAAATGTTCATTCTCTGTCAAACTGAATGTGTTTGAAATCATTTTAGTGAAAATAAATGTGGTGTCAGTTTAGTGGCGTTTATCCGATGTGAGCGGCGTCTGCGTGTGTTTCAGGATCCGAGTCGCTGGGATCAGAGGTCTTCAGGGAGTCGTGAGGAAAACTGTGAACGACGAGCTGCAGGCCATCATCTGGGAGCCTCAGCACATGGACAAACTGATTCCCTCCATGCTGTTCAACATGCAGGACGCCGAGGACCTGGACAGGTACGCCGCGCCGCAGCAGCCAGCGCCAGGCTGCCGCCAGGCTGCACTGATGTGCTGCAGCATTGCGCTGCCGCCGCCAGGCTGCACTGATGTGCTGCAGCATTGCGCTGCCGCCGCCAGGCTGCACTGATGTGCTGCAGCACTAATGTGCTGCAGCACATCAGTGCATTATAGACCAACATAACAGAAACTAATCGGCCAAAGAAGTGAAATGATTGTAATTATTGATGAAAATTTAATATTACAAGTTTAATTTATTGTGCAGGAATAATTTTATATTTGTGTTTTTAATTGGAGAGAAAAACTCAGGACTTTCAGTTTGGGGATTTGGATCCATTTAACTGTTTACTTTTACATTTTACTTTAAAAAGTTACAACTTCTCAAAAATAACAGCAAAACTTTTTAACTCAAACATCAAATCCTTCTGATTTCTGTCCATATTGTTGATATTTTTCTGCAGTTACATAGAAAATGTATTTTTATTCCATTTCTTTCATGGAAAGTTTCCAAGGTGGAGAAATTCCCAGAATGTTTCAGGCTTTTGTCTCAGACAGAATTCAGATTAAACAGTTTCTGTTTGTCTTTAGAAATAATGAGAATCGTTAAATAATAACCACTTTATTCCTTGTTTCTGTGGATTCTGAGATAATAAAGGCAGATTCAGTAAATTTGCAGATCGGCGCCGTCTGTTTAGGTTCTTTTCTCCTCCTGGATCTCGTCGCCTCACCTTCCCGTCTTCTCGCTGTCGTTTCATCCGTACGGTTTCCATGTGAACAAAAAGCTATTTTTGGATCCACTCCTGCTGCCGTTTTCTTTCTTCTGCTGACTTTCCTTTCTGAAGAGGCTCAGCTGTGGCGCCGGCGCCCCGACTGGAGCGGCTCGGCACTAGGGTTCTGCTCTGCAGGTGGAGAATACCGAGCCTTCGCGTGTCGTCAGTATCTTCACCCGCTGAAGATAAACGACCATAAACGTTTAGATCAGCTCATGGTTAGAGGAACCCTCAGGGTGTGTGTGTGTGTGTGTGTGTGTGTGTGTGTGTGTGTGTGTGTGTGTCTGTGTGTGTGTGTGTCTGTGTGTGTGTGTGTGTGTGTGTGTGTGTGTGTGTGTGTGTGTGTGTGTGCGCTGCTGCAGGAGGCAGTCACTGGTTCTGTTCTGGTTCTGTTCAGCTCCGTCTGTCCTGTCCGTGTTTCTAACCGTTTTCCTGCAGAAACTCTGGACTCTAAATCCGTCCATTCAAATATATGAATATGTATTTTGGGTGTGAATGACTTGACCTTTGACCTGAACAGTGTTTCCAAGTTTAATAATCTGAATCTCTTAAATTAATTTGAGTCTTGCTGCAGTTTTTTCCTCTCTGGTTCATTTGCTGCTGCAGAAATGATGCTGAAGCCGTTCTGTACTTTTTCCTCCTTGAACAAACGACTTCCTGGTTTCTGTTGGTTTCCCCTCCGACCGGCGGCGAGTCTCTGATGGACGGCGCCGCTCAAGGCCGCTGTGTTTCTCTTAATTGCCTCTCGGTGAGGCGGACGTGTCCGGCCTGCAGAGGGAGGGAGGCCGAGGCTCCGCCGGTGTTCACGGTTCCACCCTGACAGAAATGGAGGCGATAAAATGCCTCCGACCTCCAGCTGCTCAGACGGTTCATATCTGATGAAACCCAAACAGCCGCTGAATACAAACCGGACAAAAGGAGTCAGGAGGGTCATGGAGTCATTTAGAGCCGCCGTCTTTCAGAGATGACTGGACATGAAAAATAACTTTATTTGCTGTGACATGTTGGAGCAGCTCGGTTTCTGATTGGTTCTGCTCTTGGTTCTGATCGGTTCTGATTAGTTCTGATCGGTTCTGATTGGTTCTGCTCTTGGTTCTGCTCTTGGTTCTGCTCTTGGTTCTGCTCTTGGTTCTCATCGGTTCTGATTGGTTCTGATCGGTTCTGATTGGTTCTGCTCTTGGTTCTGATCGGTTCTGATCGGTTCTGCTCTTGGTTCTGCTCTTGGTTCTGATCGGTTCTGCTCTTGGTTCTGCTCTTGGTTCTGATCGGTTCTGCTCTTGGTTCTGATCGGTTCTGATTGGTTCTGATTGGTTCTGATCGGTTCTGATTGGTTCTGATCGGTTCTGATTGGTTCTGCTCTTGGTTCTGCTCTTGGTTCTGATCGGTTCTGCTCTTGGTTCTGCTCTTGGTTCTGATCGGTTCTGCTCTTGGTTCTGCTCTTGGTTCTGATCGGTTCTGCTCTTGGTTCTGATCGGTTCTGATTGGTTCTGATCGGTTCTGATTAGTTCTGCTCTTGGTTCTGATTGGTTCTGCTCTTGGTTCTGATTGGTTCTGCTCTTTTTCCTCAATATGAACCATATTTTTTTAATTTGGACACAAATTCTGACTACAAAGTCTTTTTTTTTTTTTTTAATCCGGCAACAGAAAACCTCATTTTATTCCGTCTGTTCTGCCCAATTTATTAAACCACAACAATCCACCTCCAATTACAGCAGGAGGTTTCATTTTTGTCTATCATTTCCCCACTTCTAACAAGCAATAAGCATTTAATTTCCCCTGAACTGCTGCCGTGTGCTGACAGTAATTGCATCGTTTCCCTCCGGAGACGCGGCCGCCTGGAGTCCACCTCGCTCCCGGCGACGTGATTTACGATTTATCCCCTCAACAAGTGGCTGCGGCTGCTTCAAGGCGCAGGATTTCTGTTCTGAGGGAAATGGAAGAACTCTGAGGGTTTCGCTCCCAACAGAGCAATGGTTGGACGGAAAGGAGAGATTTACACACGAATCAGGATTTCAGCTGAAATAATGACATGAAAATCGAAGTTTGATGCCTCAGTTATGGAGCGGAGGCGAGAATATCGAGAGAAAAACCGAGATCCAGGATGCAAGCAGCAGAAATTGGTTTCCTTCACTGGCACAGAGAGTGAAGCTAAAAAGCTAGCTGCGCTAACCCCAGAGCATTAACCACACAGTTCAGCTGATGTTATGTTGCTATGCTAACATTATAGTTAGCATAAACTAACTCTTAAGTACTTTACTAATACAGTATTTAGCAGAAGCCAATGCTAAAGTCAACACAGTATTTAGCAGAAGCTAATGCTAAAGTCAACACAGTATTTAGCAGTACCTAAAGCTAAAGTCAACACAGTATTTAGCAGAAGCTAATGCTAAAGTGACCACAGGATTTAGCAGAAGGTAATGCTAAAGTCAACACAGTATTTAGCAGAACCTAATGCTAAAGTCAACACAGTATTTAGCAGAACCTAATGCTAAAGTCAACACAGTATTTAGCAGAAGCTAATGCTAAAGTCAACACAGTATTTTGCAGAAGCTAATGCTAAAGTCAATACAGTATTTAGCAGAAGCTAATGCTAAAGTCAACACAGTATTTTGCAGAAGCTAATGCTAAAATCAACACAGTATTTCGCAGAAGCTAATGCTAAAGTCAACACAGTATTTTGCAGAAACTAATGCTAAAGTCAACACAGTATTTTGCAGAAACTAATGCTAAAGTCAACACAGTATTTAGCAGAAGCTAATGCTAAAGTCAACACAGTATTTAGCAGAAGCTAATGCTAAAGTCAACACAGTATTTAGCCGAAGCTAATGCTAAAGTCAACACAGTATTTAGCAGAAGCTAATGCTAAAGTGACCACAGTATTTAGCAGAAGGTAATGCTAAAGTCAACACAGTATTTAGCAGAACCTAATGCTAAAGTCAACACAGTATTTAGCAGAAGCTAATGCTAAAGTCAACACAGTATTTAGCAGAAGCTAATGCTAAAGTCAACACAGTATTTAGCAGAAGCTAATGCTAAAGTCAACACAGTATTTAGCAGAAGCTAATGCTAAAGTCAACACAGTATTTTGCAGAAACTAATGCTAAAGTGACCACAGTATTTTGCAGAAACTAATGCTAAAGTCAACACAGTATTTAGCAGAAGCTAATGCTAAAGTGACCACAGTATTTAGCAGAAGCTAATGCTAAAGTCAACACAGTATTTAGCAGAACCTAATGCTAAAGTCAACACAGTATTTAGCAGAAGCTAATGCTAAAGTCCACACAGTATTTAGCAGAAGCTATTGCTAAAGTGACCACAGTATTTAGCAGAAGCTAATGCTAAAGTGACCACAGTATTTAGCAGAAGCTAATGCTAAAGTGACCACAGTATTTAGCAGAAGCTAATGCTAAAGTGACCACAGTATTTAGCAGAAGCTAATGCTAAAGTGACCACAGTATTTAGCAGAAGCTAATGCTAAAGTCAACACAGTATTTAGCAGAAGCTAATGCTAAAGTCAACACAGTATTTAGCAGAAGCTAATGCTAAAGTCAACACAGTATTTAGCAGAAGCTAATGCTAAAGTCAACACAGTATTTAGCAGAAGCTAATGCTAAAGTCAACACAGTATTTAGCAGAAGCTAATGCTAAAGTCAACACAGTATTTAGCAGAAGCTAATGCTAAAGTCAACACAGTATTTAGCAGAAGCTAATGCTAAAGTCAACACAGTATTTAGCAGAACCTAATGCTAAAGTCAACACAGTATTTAGCAGAACCTAATGCTAAAGTCAACACAGTATTTAGCAGAAGCTAATGCTAAAGTCAACACAGTATTTAGCAGAAGCTAATGCTAAAGTCAACACAGTATTTTGCAGAAGCTAATGCTAAAGTCAACACAGTATTTCGCAGAAGCTAATGCTAAAGTCAACACAGTATTTCGCAGAAACTAATGCTAAAGTCAACACAGTATTTTGCAGAAACTAATGCTAAAGTCAACACAGTATTTAGCAGAAGCTAAAGCTAAAGTCAACACAGTATTTAGCAGAAGCTAATGCTAAAGTCAACACAGTATTTAGCAGAAGCTAATGCTAAAGTCAACACAGTATTTAGCAGAAGCTAATGCTAAAGTGACCACAGTATTTAGCAGAAGGTAATGCTAAAGTCAACACAGTATTTAGCAGAACCTAATGCTAAAGTCAACACAGTATTTAGCAGAAGCTAATGCTAAAGTGACCACAGTATTTAGCAGAAGGTAATGCTAAAGTCAACACAGTATTTTGCAGAAACTAATGCTAAAGTCAACACAGTATTTAGCAGAAGCTAATGCTAAAGTCAACACAGTATTTAGCAGAAGCTAATGCTAAAGTCAACACAGTATTTAGCAGAAGCTAATGCTAAAGTCAACACAGTATTTTGCAGAAGCTAATGCTAAAGTGACCACAGTATTTAGCAGAAGGTAATGCTAAAGTCAACACAGTATTTAGCAGAACCTAATGCTAAAGTCAACACAGTATTTAGCAGAAGCTAATGCTAAAGTCAACACAGTATTTAGCAGAAGCTAATGCTAAAGTCAACACAGTATTTAGCAGAAGCTAATGCTAAAGTCAACACAGTATTTTGCAGAAGCTAATGCTAAAGTCAACACAGTATTTCGCAGAAGCTAATGCTAAAGTCAACACAGTATTTAGCAGAAGCTAATGCTAAAGTGACCACAGTATTTAGCAGAAGGTAATGCTAAAGTCAACACAGTATTTAGCAGAACCTAATGCTAATGTCAACACAGTATTTAGCAGAAGCTAATGCTAAAGTCCACACAGTATTTAGCAGAAGCTATTGCTAAAGTGACCACAGTATTTAGCAGAAGCTAATGCTAAAGTGACCACAGTATTTAGCAGAAGCTAATGCTAAAGTCAACACAGTATTTAGCAGAAGCTAATGCTAAAGTCAACACAGTATTTAGCAGAAGCTAATGCTAAAGTCAACACAGTATTTAGCAGAAGCTAATGCTAAAGTCAACACAGTATTTAGCAGAAGCTAATGCTAAAGTCAACACAGTATTTAGCAGAAGCTAATGCTAAAGTCAACACAGTATTTAGCAGAAGCTAATGCTAAAGTCAACACAGTATTTAGCAGAAGCTAATGTGTGCAGCAGCATCATCCTCAGTTTGACGTCTCTGATGATGAAGGGCCTGTGTGAACTCCGACAGCTCAGATTTCACACTTCAGCTCTGAATGTCACCTTGCAGTGAACTGACCTTTGACCTTCCCGTCAGACTTCTCGGTGCCATTACGGAGATGTGAACTGTGACCTTGACGGTGCTGGCTCCTGATTGGCTGTTGGTCGTCAGCTTCTCTATTATTCATCCCGGTTGTTTCCTTCTGATGAAACTTTCATTTAATCTCAGCTTCTCTCTTTCCATCCCTCCTCTTCTTACTTCCTGGAAGTTTGTCTTCTCAGCCTCTGTGTTGTTATGAAATATTGATTGTTGCGCGGCGCGGCTTGTTGCGTTGCGCGGCTCGTTGCGCGGCGCGGCTTGTTTCTACGTGATGTTGCCGTTTCCAGACGTGTTGCCTGTTTTTCCAGCTGCTCTGCTGAGCCGACAGCTCCTGTTGCTCCTGGCGAGGCCTTTCCGTTTCCCACGTTCGTCTGCTCTGCTTCCCTCCGCAGGTCGGGGCATCCCAGCACGCCGTCCGTCGGGTCAGGAGGGCGAGGAGAACCCGGCGGTTCTGGCCGAGAACTGCTTCAGGGAGCTGCTGGGCCGAGCCGCGTACGGAAACATGAAGAACGCCGTCCGGCCCGTGTTGGTGTGAGTACAACCTGTAGATCTTTCCTTCTTAAAGCAGCATTTCAATGAGGCTGAGCTCCGAACTTTGACTAGGCCACCTCGATTCTTTTCGTATTGAGCCGTTCTGTTGTAGATTAGCATGGCTGGTAGATTTACAAAATATTGGAGGCTAAGAAAAAGCCGTCACTGCAGGGAGTGAGTCTTAATGTGATGAGAATAAAATCTTACAGGTGTGAATTTATCCTCATGTTATTATTACTCTTTGTAATTTACAGCTTCTGTTATTACGGCTTTTTTTTCACATTATTTTGACTTAATTTTTAAATTATAACTATATTCATGTTATGACTTTATTCTGGTGATATTACAAGTTTATTCTCGCATTATGTCTTTATTCCTGAATTATTAAGATTATTTTCCATTTCTGAACTGCAATCGACTGCAGACCGCTCCAAAAGCAGGAAGGTTTACAGCGCAGGGCATTCTGGGTAAATGCTACCAAAACAAACATGCTAGCCTAGCGCTAGCAGGAGAAATGAAAAACACTGAAGTGTTTTTCCTCCAATCGCTAAAATCTGACGCCTCCATTTTTGTTTCTACACCATGAAGGAAGCTGCGCTCAGCGTCTTTAGAGGTTTGTGTGTCGTTTCCTTCAGTGGTTTCTGGTGCAGCGCCCCCTCGGGCCAGGAGGGGAACAGGTTGGTTTGACTCAGAGCCACAGCAGCTGGAGGTGGAGCAGATGATGGAGTTCTGGTTCCTTATTGATCGGAGTTTACTGGACTGTCAGCTGTGAAATGACCACCATGTTGTATTCTTGTGGAGCGCTGTGCGGTCAGAGATCTTCTCTCCTGCTCCAGTAAATGTCTCCTTCCTCCCTGGAGAACATCAGAACCAGATCCGCATCGTGTGAACCTGCCGTTATACTGCTGAGCATCAAGTGTCAGACTGAAGGTGATCAGTTATTAAGTGGATCTGACCGGCTGCTGCTTCCACAAAAAACTGGAAAAACCCAAATCTTTCGCAAAAAAGGCTCCATGTTGCTCCTTAGTGGCTTTATTGAATATTTCCATGCTCATGCAGCCTGGAGTGACACGTTTTCCCTAAATATGTAACTCATGCTTGCAAATTAATTCAAGAACCTTTTACTGCTGCTATTACAGTTTTATAAGACTCTGACGCCTCAGAAACACCGGCGTCAGTTTAAAGTTTAAAAGCTTTTCTTCTTCCTGTCTGCTTTTCTGACCTGGGAGGCTTATCGTTTATTTATCACTGGTAAAAGATCTACATTTCTTAAAGACAGGCAAGGAAACAGAGGAACAGCTTAAACGTCAGGATGTCTTCTTCATGGTTCTGTAGATTATTGGGTCAGGAGGTTGAACAACAGCGGACCGGACACACCCCTGAGGAACTCCTCTACCTGTCGATACAAACTCTATCCTTTTCCATCCACTCATATTTATCTTCAGTTTGAGTGGAAAGAATGAAATATTCACTGAAGTTCATCATTTAAAGGATGTAGCAAAAACAGTGGAGGAACAAAAAGTTTAGTCATCCATCCTAAATACTTTCTTTCCCTTCTGCCTCCTAATTAGAGCAATTTTTATTTATCCTTCTCTTGTTTTGATATTCAAGTTTTTTCTCAGTTCAAGCAAAGAAAAATTAAACGATTTTCTGTTAAGATGAGCAGGTTTGGAACAGAAATTATGTTTTAAACCATTTTCTCTGAATCACAAAACATTTGAAGATTTAAAGAAAACTACAAGCTAAAAATGAACCTTTATGGCTTTAAATGGGAAAAGAAAGATCAGTTACACCATAAATTGTAAATAAAGTAAATTTGTGCGTGCGTGTGTGTGTGTGTCGGGGTCTTTAGTTCATAATCTGTCAGATAATCCAGCGGATGAAGCTACAAATTGGTCATTAATTCGGTTCCTGCAGGCCTTTGTTTCACCTCCTGACGTTTCCCATCCATTCTGTTGACACTCAGTCACTTTTATGACACTTGATGCAGGAGGTCTGCACACACACACACACACACAGGCACACAGGCACATGCAGACACACACACACACACACACAGTGACAGAGAGCAGCAGTGTGTCTTTCTCACACTGACACTTTATTACTGTAAGTGTTTCTGAGTCCAGGCCAGAGGTTCAGTTTCACATCTGGCTCCAGGTCAGGTTGGTGCGCTGCGCCCCCTGCAGGCGGGCCAGAGCGTTGCAACCTGTTAGTGTAGTGCAGGCTGAGGATGAATCTGATCTCAGACAAAAACTCTGATTTTTTTTTTAAAGCGCGGTGCAGTTTTGGGAGCTACGGGAGCCTGTAGGGGAAGGAGCTGCTGGTACAGACTCTCTCTCTCTCCCACCCACCGTCACTCTCTCTCTTGCTCTCTTTCTCTCCGTTTCTCTCTCTCGCTCCGTTTCTCTCTCTCTCCCCCCTCAGATTAAACGTTGACGTGTTGCTGCGGCGGAGACGCTGCGTGAATATTAAACGCCTTTGTGAGCGTTGCGGCGTGGCGAATACTCGTGTATTAAGGCGCCTCCGTGTCTCAGACCCGTTTGTCCTCCTGCAGAACTCTGCAGGCAGCAACAGGGGGGGGAGGGGCGAGCATCTTCAGACTATAAATAGCAGGATTGGGGTTAACGGGGAGGAGGGGTTCGGGGTTTGGATTGACGTCATGAACTGTTCTCCTCCAAGCTGCTTCCTCTCCTCCATCTTTTGTTGCCTTTTCTCTTCTTGGTGCTTCGTCTTTTCTCTCTTTCTTTATCCCTTCTTTTCTTCTTCTTCCTCTTCTTCTTTTTCACTCCAACACCTGATTCCTTCTCTCCCTGTTTGTAGCATTTTTATCGTTTTTGGGTTCAAACTGATTCAGTGATTTTATTTTTCTCAAAAGCAACGCAGCCTGGTTTCCTTCATATCTTCCTATTGTTAATAAGGAATCTGGTTCTGGTTCTGATCCGGTTAGAGACCATGAACCTGCAGTGGATCAGCCACCAGCAGAGCCGACCCTCAAACCTCTGAACACGTTGGTCTAATTGCTAGTGAAAAAAATCTGAAAATGTTTGAAATGAGACAAAAGCTTTTCAAAAAGACGTCAGATTTTGTTTTGACTCCTTAATTCCCAAAGTTTGAAAGATTGTTTCACTTTTTGTTTTTGTAAATCAGTCGTTACTGACATAGTTTAGCTTTTTTTCCCACAAAAAACCTCTAAGGTGAAAACTGACGATAAATAATTAAAAATATTTAAATTCCTGCTGCTAACTTCTTGTTGTGTCTATTCTCTGTGGGATTGACTTTGACTAGGCCTCACCTTGTCTTCAGTCCATTTCTGTGGATTCGTTGGGTTGTTTTACATTCATTTCACCTTTGACCCCCACAGCATAATGCTGCCATCACCATGCTTCACAGCAGTGGCGTCTTCATCATACAGCATCTTGTTAAATTGACAAAAAAATAAATGAAATGTTACCAAAAAGGTAACAATTCTTCTTCTGCACTTTTGATTTTAACCAATAAGGACGTGAATAATTGACTAAATATGAAGAACCTTCATATGATTTTCTTTTATTGTTTCATTTTTGTGCAGGAAATTTGATTCAAATCGGTTTTGTTTCTGCTTTTGGTTCTCAGTCACCTGGACAATCATCACCTGTGGGACCCGAATGAGTTCGCCGTGTCCTGCTTCAGGATCATCATGTTCTCCATCCAGGTAACATTTACTTCAATATTTAACCTTTCAATTATTGATGCAGGATCCAGAAAGACTTTTTTTCTTTTTATGATATTTTTTGAAAATCTTTTCATGCAGAAGAAACAAACGAAGTTTTCAGTCCGGCTGTGTGAGCGTAGCGTTAGCCGCCCGCCGCTAGCCGGTTCACGTCAGGTTGAAGTTGGTCTGCCTGACACACAGGGGGAGCTGCTGAGCAGTCGTGGAGCTTTGATTTTATTTTGTAGCTGTTCAGACTCTGAGGAGGAATCTGCTTGTTTGGAAATAAAATCTGTCCTGAACCGTCGCCACCTTCATGTTTCCTCATTCTGGGATAAAACTCAGCTTATTGGACTTCAGAGGAGATTGAGCCTGAATAAAAATCACTTTCTCCGGTTCTGCAATGTTTACAGGACGCAGCAAGAGAAACTCAAATTATCAATCATTTAATATTTAAAATTTACATAATGCCAAAAATATCAATTTGAGTGAAAGATTTTATATTTTAAAGATCAAAATGAAAAATTCACATAACAAAAAACAAAATCAGGCAAAAGGAGAACATTAGAAATCAGTCTGTTTCAATAAAACTGCAGGTATGTGTCTGGTTTTCATTCAGTCAGTAGAAAATCCAGAAATTTTACTGAAGAGTAGAAACTGCAGCACTGTGAAAGTTTCCTCCACTAACGCTGCAGAAAACTGCTCTCTCTATTTCAGTTCTTCATTCATTTTGATATTTTTTGTTTTTCTCGGACCGATCCAGGCTCAGCACTCGCACCACGTGATCCAGCAGGTTCTGACCCACCTGGACGGGAACAACAGGAGCACTCCGCGGGTCAGAGCCGGCATCGTCCAGGTTCTGCTGGAGACGGTGGCCATTGCTGCAAAAGGATCTGTGGGTGAGTCTGAAAGGCGTCACGGTTCACATCCGGTGTTAATAGAACTGCCAGTTCTGCAGAGAAAAGGTCCGATAAGCCTCTTCGCTGCAGTCCGCTGGAGAAGAAAATGGAAAATTAGTCGGGTTTCTTAAAGAACATTTCTTATTGTTAGGTCTCTAAATAAATGGTTGGTTGATCAAGAGTGAAACTCAAATGAAGCATTTACTTTCTTCAAAAAGACTATTATAGATAATAAAGATAAAGCTAAAAACAAAACATTTGCTTTTATGCTAATTTTGTACAAAAGGAAAAAATCAAAAATTTAATTTTTGTTCCCCTCAGAATCGAACTGCTCCCCTTTTTTCTGTTAAATTATGTTATAATTAAATTGTTTTCTGAAGCATGAAGGTTAGACCTTGAGAACAGCAGCAGAAACGAATTAGGATTTTAGTTCACCATGAAAAAATGTTTCTGTTGTTAAATGAAGGTGAAAATCTCCCACCAGAGGAAATAATTAAAAACGTTCATTAATTCAGAAAAAACCTGTAACTTGTTTCTTCTTCCATGTTTTGGGAAAATAAAAACGAAACTCCTTGTGGACAGGAATGATCCAAGAGTGCAAAGGAAGCGATGTGTTCAACTTTGAAAGCGAAAGCCCGACTCCTCACAATCTGTGGCTCGGTACAGTAAACGCACTGCAGTTAAAATGTCTGCAGCTTTTCCCCTCGACTCGCCGACATCAACAAGCATCGTGGGAAAATGAGCTTCAGCAACACATCCACAGCTGTTGGAGACAAAACTGAAGACACAAAGAGGTTTTTCCATTTTAGCAGATCCAGTCAGAACTGTCTGTGTGCAAAAACAGAAGCTCAGCTAACTAGCAAGCTAACATGTTACATAACAGGCAAACTGGGAATTCAGCTGATTGTTGGGCTAACATGCAAGCTAAAACCCAGTTAGCAGCCGAGCTACGCACAAAACTAAAGACCCAAGTGAAAATATGCGCTAACAAGCTAGGACTTAAGCTAACAGTTGAGCTTAAAGCTAAATTAGAGATAAAAACTGAGTGAAGAATGAAACCAACAACCAAACTAATAGATCATTTTTATCTGAGCTAAGGAGCAAGAAAACATCTCAGCTGCACTGCAAAATAACAGTGAAGCTTTTAGCTAAACTAAACTTTGCTAACATTTTATCTAAACTAAAATGTAGCTAACAGCTGACCTAACATGTGAGCTTGGAGGTGAGCTAGCAGCTTAATGCTCAGCTAACAACAAGTCAAACCACAGTTGGAGCTAGCAACTTAGCAGAAAATCAAAACAGGAGCTAAACGCTAACCTTACAGATGAACAATGACGCAAGCTAGATCAGCTAAGAAATGAGCTAACTGCTAATAATGTAGCTAACAGTCAAGCTAGCGTCTAAATGCAGACATCAGTGACTGATAAATATTCCTCAGTAATTAATTTTCTGCTAAACATTTAGATATGAGGCAGAAACAGTAACATTACCTGTGCAACATGTCAAAGTTTTAGTTCTTTATTTAGTTTATTTCCAACGCCACTAATTAGCATGATTAGCTTCATGTTTGCTCCATTTCTTTCTGACTAATTTTTTCTAAACTGACTTAATGAATCAAAGACTGTTTTGTTCCTATTTCTCAAGTTTCTTGTCTTCAGTTTTGTTCAGTTATTTTACTTCAGACATAAATTCAAGCAACAGTGGATATTTTTAAATATTTCATATGAATGAAGCCTAAATGTGCGTTTTGGATGCATGTTGATGCCGGGTTCATGTAAAAAAGCTCCAGTAATCCCAGAGTAGTTTTAGGAAAACGGAGAGTGACCAGAAGATGCGACGCTCTAATCAAACACGGCGTCTCATTTTTATATTTCAGATTGAAATACTGTTAGAAAATACCAAAAATACCAAAGCAGGACCATGAATTGTGTTCATCTGATGTTCTCAAAGTGAACGTTGTTCTGTTGGATTCTTCTGGTCGCTCCTCGTTGTGAAACGGAGCCGGAGTGTCGGGAAGCTGCAGGTTAGCCGTGTTGTGATGGTGTAGCTCATAGTGGTGCGTAGAGCAGAAAGATGATGTGTTAAAGTAGATTAAACTCTGATTTCACAAAACCAGGTTAATGTCACATCTTCTCCCCTCAGGTCAGAAGTTTTATTTGCTGAGGAAGAATCCGTCTGTCCATTTTAAATTCTGCAGGCTTTGTAAATAATGTTTTTTAGAGGTTTGGGGCCCCAGGGGGCCACAGGCAGCCGGGTGGACCAGTCAGCACTGACCGATAATCTGAGGTGTTGCTTTCTGTGACAGAATAAATTAGGCCTGCCGTCACTTTGAGCTGCACTTTTCTGCAGGTGTCTGCTCATCCTGGAGCTAATTTTAGTTTCAGAAAAAACTGAATCACCTTTCAATCCCAGAACCAAAAAACTGCTGCTGCTCATCTGAACCAAACATTTTCTAATTAATCTGGGATGAAGCTGGATTATTTTAACAGAATCACATTCATTTATTATACATTTTCTGCCATAGTTGGTTATCACAGTGTTAGAAAATCCCAGAGAATCATCCAAATGGATGATGGATGCTTTATTTTTATACAATTTTAAAAGAAAACTCCTTCATAATTTGGATTTTGGATCAGAAACATCATTCAGAGCTTAAATGTGTCACTGAAAATGGGATTTTATGTGACTGAATCTCTTGTCAGTTAATATTGCTGCTTTTGTTTGGCTGGACAAATTGTGGCAGGTTGTTAAAACTTTGCCTGATTTTCACAACATTCAGCTGGTTTTTAGAAAGAGGAAATTAATTATTTATTTATTTTGCCATTTTATGTCAAAAGCACAAAGTTTTAATAGAAATGTTGAGTTATTCTACTTTTATTATTAATTTATTTATTTTGAATTAAACTGGACTCTGTCGAGCCCGGCGTCATCATTGGTTGATCACTGATTGATCACTTATTGATTACTGATTGGTCATTGGTTGATCACTGGTTGATCAAGTGATTATTGTAAAACAGAAATCCAAGACCTGGTCTGGTTTTTGCAGTTTGGTGATTTTTTGTTGTTTTCGTTCTCGTTCATAACCTGTTGGGTTTGTAACCTGCTGGGTTTCTAACTTGTTGGGTTTCTAACCTGCTGGGTTTCTAACCTGCTGGGTTTGTAACCTGCTGGGTTTCTAACTTGTTGGGTTTCTAACTTGTTGGGTTTCTAACCTGCTGGGTTTCTAACCTGCTGGGTTTGTAACCTGCTGGGTTTGTAACCTGCTGGGTTTGTAACCTGTTGGGTTTGTAACCTGCTGGGTTCGTAACCTGCTGGGTTCGTAACCTGCTGGGTTCGTAACCTGCTGGGTTCGTAACCTGCTGGGTTCGTAACCTGCTGGGTTTGTAACCTGCTGGGTTTGTAACCTGCTGGGTTTCTAACTTGTTGGGTTTCTAACCTGCTGGGTTTATAACCTGCTGGGTTTCTAACCTGTTGGGTTTATAACCTGCTGGGTTTATAACCTGCTGGGTTTATAACCTGCTGGGTTTATAACCTGCTGGGTTTGTAACCTGCTGGGTTTCTAATTTGTTGGGTTTGTAACCTGCTGGGTTCGTAACCTGCTGGGTTCATAACCTGCTGGGTTTATAACCTGCTGGGTTTGTAACCTGCTGGGTTTATAACCTGCTGGGTTTGTAACCTGCTGGGTTTGTAACCTGCTGGGTTTGTAACCTGCTGGGTTTGTAACTTGTTGGGTTTCTAATTTGTTGGGTTTGTAACCTGCTGGGTTCGTAACCTGCTGGGTTTGTAACCTGCTGGGTTTGTAACCTGCTGGGTTTTCTAATTTGTTGGGTTTGTAACCTGCTGGGTTCGTAACCTGCTGGGTTTGTAACCTGCTGGGTTTATAACCTGCTGGGTTTATAACCTGCTGGGTTTGTAACCTGCTGGGTTTATAACCTGCTGGGTTTATAACCTGCTGGGTTTGTAACCTGCTGGGTTTGTAACCTGCTGGGTTTGTAACCTGCTGGGTTTGTAACCTGCTGGGTTTGTAACCTGCTGGTGTGACGGCAGGTCCGACGGTCCTGGAGGTCTTCAACACGCTGCTCAAACACCTGCGGATGAGCGTGGACTTCGAGCTGGGCGACGGCTCCAGGAGGAACTCCGGCAGCAGCATGTCGTCATTGCACGGCCGGGAGAGCGACGAGCGCATCGTGCAGAACGCCATCATCCAGACCATCGGTGCGGCAGAGCGCTCCTCGCCGGTTATCCAGCGGCTCTGACCCGGCTCTGACCCGGCTCTGCTGCCCCCTGCAGGGTTCTTTGGTGGAAACCTGCCAGATTACCAGCGAGCCGAAGTCATGATGTTCATCATGGGGAAGGTGCCGGTGTACGGGACGCCGTGCCACACCTTGGACACGGTGAAGATCGGGTGAGTCGGCCGTGATGTGGCGGCGCCCCGGGTTTCCGTGGCGGCGTCGCAGAGTCCTGCTCTTCATCATCACCTTCGTCATCCTCAGCAGAAACTTTAACAGAAACGGAGAAGAAAATAATTTTAGTTGAGCATCTGCAGACATGTAGAGACGAAACATTTTACTGCTGCAAAAACAACAGAACAACAGACTCAGAGCTGTAATTAAACCAAAACTGTACAAAAATATAAATGTTTTGCATTTAAGACACACAAAAAAAAAACTTGGTCTGTAAATTTCTCCAAACGTTTTAGCTTCACCTGATTCAAAAAAAGAGAAATATCATGTTAAGCACCTTTTCCTATCTGATTATTAATTGGTTTATGGATAAACATAAATCATATCACTGAATAATAAAATATTTTCTTATTTAAAGAAATTCGGTTATTTTTTTATGTCCTAATATTGTGTAAAAAAGTGTTCAGTGCTTAAAGGAAAAATCTGCAGAATGATTTATAAAATAATTGATTAATCTTCATACCAATTGATTATTAGTGTCTGTTGCTCTGGACCTCAGCTGATCTTTTCCACGTCGTTCAGAAAGTAAAACTCTCCTGAACGCCTCGCCGTGCCTTCAGCTTCCGGTCGCCGAGCTGGAAAAACGAACATCAAGTAAATCCATCAGAGTTTAGAGAAAGATAATCCCAAATCTAATGAACGCCGTTGGCACTCCTTCCTCCTCTTCCTCCTGATCCAGACAGGCTTCCTTCCTTTAGCGCTGAGGTTGAAATCTGCAGCATGTCAACGATTCAATGCAGAATCACCTTTACATCCTCCCAGTCCACCTTTACTATTCCACCTTAATGTAGTCCAATCCAGTGAATTATCAGCATTAAAGGACCAGATGTTCTGAGTTACTGACTGGTTCTGTTTGGTTTCAGGCCTCAGGGAACCAAGAGGATCCAGACGATGCTGCTCAGTTCCCTCATCATGGTGAGAAACTGACTGAGCTCTGCGGAGCCTGCGACCACTTCCTGTCGTCTTCTTCTTCGTTTCCACCAGTAGCAACATTTGGCTGCTGATCATGTGACTCACTAGAAAAAAATACTGCTGAAAAAACATCCACCTGATCCTAATGCAAAAACTTACCAAAACATGTTTTTCTAAATTGACGTGTTTCTGTTGAGTTTGAGTTTTTCTATGGAGACGCAGGATGCAGCATGCAGGATGCAGCATGCAGGATGCAGCATGCAGGATGCAGCATGCAGGATGCAGCATGCAGGATGCAGCATGCAGGATGCAGCATGCAGGATGCAGCATGCACACTGAAATGCAAACACAAACTGGGGAAAGCTTCATCAATGCCGACAAGCAGAAACAAAGAGAAAGCAGACATGCAGTCTCCAAAAGCTGCGACACCTAATGCATCGCTGTGCATGCAGAAAACCCTTAACTCTGAGGGTCTCGGCTGCAGCCGCATTCAGCTGGACGCAGCCGCATTCAGCTGGACGCAGCCGCATTCAGCTGGACGCAGCCGCATTCAGCTGGACGCAGCCGGATGCAGCTGGACGCAGCCGGATGCAGGCGGACGCAGCCGGATGCAGCTGGATGCAGCTGGATGCAGCTGGATGCAGCCGGACGCAGCTGGATGCAGCCGGATGCAGCTGCATGATGCAAATCGTTTCTGCAGACAGAAACGATTTGCTCCAGCCTGTGGTGACCCAGCAGGCTGACATGGCATGACTCAGGTGGCTAAGGGCTGCTCTCCGGGTCAAAGGTTAAAGCGGGTTCATCTGTGAGGCTCCTGGAGTTGCAGAGTTCAGCTGAAAACCTGATCATGTTTAGTGAAATGTTTGGTGTTTCAGTTGATCCTGCCGTTGCTCGGTGGCGCCCCCTGCAGTAACGACTCGTCTTTTCCCTCCTCAGGTGACCTCTGGGTTCAAGTCCAAGTCCATGTCGGCGGCGCTGCCTCCTCCCTTCCTGGACCCGCTCTTCTCCATCTCGCTGATGGAGGACAGCGAGTTGAGGCAGCTGGTCCTCGAGATCCTCCACAACATCATTGATCGCCATGACAACCGCGCCAAGCTGCGGCATCAGGTAGCGGCGCAGTCGGACGATCGTCCTCCTGCTCTGAGCGCCGCGTCTCACAGGTTCGTTTTCCTCCCGCAGGATCATTCCCAACGTTGCAGCTCTGAAGATCAAAAGGGAGAAAATATCCAAACAAGATATTGCGTTCATGAAAAAGGTAAAAAGTAGAAAATTTCTGCTTCACTTCAAACTATTGTCCACAGATGATTTGTAGGCTTGTTCTGAGAGAGCAGACTCTGTATCCTCTGAACTGGATTCCAGCCTGGAGGGAAAATCCCCCCTGATCTGAGATGTGCGGCTGGTTTCCGTTTAGGAATCCTGCGATTCGCTGACCCCGACAGGAAGTTCAGCCATTTCCCTCGAAACGCTGCAGCTTGATCATGTTGACCTGTGATTCTCACACCAGCTGCAGCCTGCAGAACCGGAACCAGAACCGGTTCTGCTTTAATGGAACCCAAATGTGACTCCTCCCACAGCGCCTGAACGCCCCGGCAGCCTTCCATCCAGAAATAACTGGATTCACGTTTTTCTCTCTGAATCTTTGAGCAGAAATGAGAATCTGTCAAACAGCAGCTCAAGAATTTGGCATTAAAGTTTCAAAGTGAAAAATAAGCTGTTTAAAGAATCTAAAAGAAAAATATTCTGCAGGAGGAGATCTCAGACTCGTTTGTTGATCAAACTGTTGAGGGTTTGAAATGTGAAATAACAAACAAACGACTATAAAACAATGTTTGATGATAGTGAGGAGAGACGAACTTAAAGAGTTCCTTTTAACTCCAGAATATTGTAAAGTATGTCGTATTTGGGCTGATAAGTGACAACAGTCTTCAATATTCAACAACGCTGCGAGAATCACTGTTAAACCCTTTATTAGGAGAAATAAAAGCGCCGCGTTTCCTCGGCTGCTGCCCCCTGCTGTCACCAGCAGACATTAATGTTCGCCATCCTTCACTGTCATGGAGTCGTTTCTGTCCAGCAGCCATTAAGATGCTATTAATGAGACACCAGGAGACGCGACGCTTCATTAACACCGACGCAAACAACCCAAACAGCAGGAATTAGTCTGATCCCTGATGTGTGTCGAGTCCAGAGGAGAACGGAGCAGAACCAAGATCCGTTAACGTGACCCGGATCGGATTCTTTGGGTTTTTCACCAGATCAGCGACTGAATCGTTTCTCAGGTTCTGTTCGCTTCTGGTAATATGGACCGAACAAAATGTTTCCAAAAAGCAGCCGAGGAAAACCTTTCAGAGACCGTCAGGCTTCAGGACGGTTCTGTGCGTCTGCCTTTGGGTCGATACCGGGTCCATTGGGTCGATACCGGGTCCGTTGGGTCGATACCGGGTCCGTTGGGTCGATACCGGGGTCCGTTGGGGTCCGGGTCGCCTCCACTCTTTGCATTTAGCAGGTTCCATGTTTGAAGCCTGTTTTGGTTAATGTTGCTACCGTGGATCCAGAGTTAAGTTTCTTATTAATAGAAATGATTATCGATTGGTTGATTGATTGATTGATTGATTGATTGATTGGTTGATTGGTTGATTGATTGATTGATGGATTGATTGAACAGACTCTTGGTCTGCAGAGACATGATGCACAGCAACACGTATCGAAGCGTTTCCACAGAGCCCACTGGTATCTTAGGAACAGAATAACCTGCAGTGGCTTCATGACGGCAGCAACGTCTCTGAACATCCAGGAGGAAATAAAGGATCACAGAGTGATCACTTGGCCGGTGATCACTTGGCCGGTGATCACTCGGTCGGTGATCACTCTGTGATCACTAGGTCGATTATCACTCGGCGGGTGATCACTCGGTGGGTGATCACTCGGTCGGTGATCACTCGGTCAGTGATCACTCGGTGGGTGATCACTCGGCGGGTGATCACTCGGTCGGTGATCACTCGGTCGGTGATCACTCGGTCGGTGATCACTTGGCCGGTGATCACTCGGCGGGTGATCACTCGGTCGGTGATCACTCGGTCAGTGATCACTCTGTGATCCAGAGTGATCACTCGGTCGGTGATCACTTGGCCGGTGATCACTCGGCGGGTGATCACTCGGCGGGTGATCACTCGGTCGGTGATCACTCTGTGATCCAGAGTGAACGAATCGTTGAACTTGGATCTTTGGGCCTTTAATGTTCTGGTCTCGGTTTCCCTCGCAGCATGGCCAGCAGCTCTACCGCCACGTCTACCTGGGCTGCAAAGAGGAAGACAACGTTCACAAGAACTTCGAGCTGCTCTTCACCACCCTGGCCGTCCTGACCATCGAACTGGCCAACGAGGAAGTGGTGATCGACCTGATCCGCCTCGCCATCGCGCTGCAGGTGACCCAGGATGTTCTCTGGTCCCAGATCTGCTGACGGATGTTTTCCTGCAAACGGTTTTTCATTTAAAAGGTTCTGATGATGTTGCGGGTTTATGATGGAGTGACTTGATACTCCTGACATGGTGAACCAGGAAGTCCAGTAGATATAATCCACTCCTATATAACTCCTCAGGATGTTGGAAAGCAGCAGACATCCTTAGTACCTGCTGGTTTTTCTGTACATGCAGGTCTATATTGTGTAGCACATTTATCTAAACACTTGACAGCCTGCGATGAAGGTGTTAATGTCTGGCGTGTCATCAGATCCGCCACGTCATGCATTATGTAATGCTGCGTCACCCTGCAGAGAAACGTTGCACAGCTTCGTGTTGGCCTCTTGAAGCTGAAGTTGTTGCCTGGACAACAACCTGGTCTGTAAGCGTCTTCCTGCTTCCTGCAGGAAATGGCTCTGAACAACGAGGAGAACATGTCCATGTTCATCCGCTGCGGCATCATGGCGCTGGTGGCGGCGTACCTCAACTTCCTGAGTCAGATGATCGCCAACCCGCCGTTCTGTCAACACGTCAGCAAGGTGCTGGTTGCATGCAGCGTGTTTGTTTTGCTAGCGTAGCTTCCTGCTTCCTGCTGCAGCTTCACTCCCAGGCGCCTTGAGTCATAATTCTGGTGATTTGTGCCTCTTCAGGTGATCGAGCTGAGAAACATGGACGCTCCGTACCTCCTGCCTGAACACATCTTCAGAGACAAGTGTCCGTAAGTTTTCACTCTGCAGCAGATCTAAACCTAAAGGTCAGGATTCGTTGTTTCCTGACCTGAGGAGTCTGACACACGATGGAGCCGCCATGTTTGTACAGCAACTCGCCTCAGACTAAAGAAACATGAAACATGATGTCGAGTGAATCTGCTGTTAGAATTACTTTATATCATGACTCCAAACATTACAGTGAGTTTGGTTATTTTATTAAAAACAGCAGCAGTCCTCCACCTTTCCACCAGAGGGCACTAAATGGTGATCAGTTGACCTTTAATTCTGACTAAGAGGAATATAATTAACTTCTTCTCAGTGAGGAAATGAACCAGAATCTGCTGATGAGACCAGATTTAGGTTTTCGACCTTCACATCCACCTTAGCATGGCCGTCACATTCTGATGTAACGTCTTCCTGTCGTCCTCCAGCCTTCCTGAGGCTTTGAACAAAGACGACAAGCCGCTGTATTTCCAAACGGCGGGCATGGCAGAGTCCCTGGCAGGTCCAGGATACAACGTGGAGAGGTTGTCCATCCCTTACATTCCACAGGTCACAGGTACGACGCCGCCGGCTTTAGCGCTCACAGGAAGGTTCCTGTTGGGATTGATCAGGAAAAGTATTTAAAGCCATTCAAGATGGCAAATGTCTGACATTTTAAAATGACAGAAGTAGCGATGTGTAATTACCTGTCCATATAGCAGCTGTATGGTGTGGCTGCAGAAACCCCATCCAGTGTCAACGACCGGCTGAACTTTCCTCGTCTTTCCGCTGGAATCACCCAACCTGTCACATGATTTATGACATTGAAAATGTCTACAGAGGAGGATGTTTCCAGATCAACGTGTGTCTTATAACTTCTGCTTTTTTAAATATTGCTGGCAGTTTTTCAGAGGTTTATAAAGAATGTGGAACTGACATAATTAAAAACAAATAAAACCCTAAATATCGTCATGAACTGCAGCAGTGTCTAAAAATGATGCACAAGACATAAACATGTTACATTAAAGTATGAAGAGTAAAACCTGAAGTGTTGGGATGAGGTGAAGCTGTATTTCTGCTCTAACTGAACCTTTCGCTCTGTTCTTGCTGCCTCGTGTTCAGTTCTTTACACGGTAGGAAAAATCATCCACAGGTGCAAGCAGACGTCCAGAGGTAAACGCTACACTAGATTATCTAGATTTAGTTTAGCTACAAAACCTTGAGACTTCCTGGTTTAGTCCCTGTAGAGACTTCCTTCCTGCCGAGGATTCGAGCGCTCTGATTGGTCCGCTGGTCAGGCTCCGCCCACATCCTTTACTATACAAAAAATTACCAGAATAAGAGTAAATAAATATTTATATAAAAAACGGACTCAGACAAAAATAATGATCTTTTTATAACCGATCAGGACAAACTATTAAAAACTAAACCAAAACATGAGAATGAATCTGATTATGTTGTCTAATTATTTTACCTGCTTTGCGTCTGGACTCGTTGTGGTGAGTATTTCAGGATGTAGTTCATGTAAGTAGTTTGGTAGTTGGATTGTGTTTGGCACTAATCTGTTTTTATTTTAGAGTGAAATAAATCAGCCGTTTCTTTTTGGTTTAGCTACGCGACTTTCACATCACCATCTATTGAAACTGATGTACTTTATTACGTCAGGATAATAAAGTAGTTCCATCTCCGCGATGTTCACTGCGTTCAGTTTCACCCAGATGTGAGTAGAAGAGGCTGCTGCTGTCGCTGGGCGCAGATCTGAGTCTGGGCCCGAGGAGATGAAATCAAGATGAAAATACAGAAAATCACACCATCCAAATCCACTGGGACATTTTCACGGCTTAAACTTGAATGCAGGAAAACAAACAGAAAAATTCAAAGCTATTTGGGTCAAATCTGGTTTACAGTGATTTTCTTTACCATCAGGGGGAGTTAAGTTTGCCAAATGTGGTCAAAGTTACCAAAAGCACAAAACAGAAACTGATTTCCTCCATTAGCAGACTAGCTGAAGTTTTATGTTCCTGCTGTGAAGTTTCACTGAGTTTCAGGCGAGTTTTTAGTTTTGCTTCCTGGTGTAAAATAAATGTTTCTGTTTTTAGCTTCATGTGCATTTTTATTTCCATCTGCTTTGCTTGTAGCGATATTTTCAAACTCAATACTAAGAAAGTGACCAAAACCGTTTTCAACACTGCAGTGAGATTTTCTGATGATGTTCAGAAGTGACCTGCAGTAAACGATGTTCTTCCTGTTGGAGTTTCATCCTGAGGCTTTACTCTGCTTTCCTCTAAATGTTTAAGAGTTTAGGAAACATAAAGAGTAAATGTCAGTGAAGTAAGAGCCCGGCTTTCTTTTGGGACGACGTTCCTCGTTAGTGGCGACTGCTGAGTCATTCCTGCTCCGTTCGCAGCAAAGGTCGCCGTGACTCATCGAGGAAGTTAATTAAAACGCGCCGCGTTTCTCTCCTGTTTTCACACCTCGGCTGACCTGCTCAGTCAAACTCTGCTGCACTTAATCTCCTCCTGCAGAACAAACAGCGGCGCTCCGGGGCAGCTTTCAGAACCTCACCGGACTCGGTTCGGCCCGGATGAATCCCATTTGTTCCCCTGTGGAAAACCGGAGCGCTCCGGCTGAACCTGAGGCTGGTTTCTAAAACAGCGTCTATAAAACCACAGCTATGAGAAAAGTTCTGGATAAACTTCTCCAGAAAGATTAGTCTGTTGCTTTCTACAAATATTTGATCATTTCAACCGATTATAAATAATTTTATCTTCAAAAATAGTTTTAACCAACAAGACAATTTTAGATACTAAAAGTCAGTTGAACTTAATTTTTATACTTTTCTAGTTTATTTTATGTAAAAGTTGCCTTCACCTGTTTACACAGAACTCAAAGGAAGCAATAGTTTGGAGACCCAACAGACCAGCACTCTACTGAGAAATTTAAAAGCTCGATGGTGTGGCTGGTCTGTTAGAGACGAGGAATCTGTCATTTCTGCTCCAGTTCTGACCAGCATTTTTGTTCTGAGAGGAGTTTGAATCAACAGAGCAGCTGTGAATGGAAGCAGCTAAAAGTCTAAGTTTTTAGTCTCCAGGGTTTCACTGCTTCAGTCAAAATGTTCTGGGAAGAGATCATCACTGACATTTGCTCTGCAATCATTAAATCATTCATTTGGCTCAGACACTGAGGAACAACTTGCTGCTGCAGCGAATGATCAACATGCAGAAAAAACGTTTAGAGAAACCACTTTGTTTGCTAACGGCGTCCATTTTGTTCAGACTGACTTTTTCCAATTTAAAATGTTGGTTCAGTTCATCCAAACGATTCATCACCTCCATATATGGACTGTTTTAGAAATGCTCTCTCAGTGTTGAGTCATTATGGCAGAAGATGTTTTAAAAATATTGCCGACGCAGCGGTTTGCTGATGCGACTGTCTGTTGTTGCAGATGAAGACCGTATGAACCGCAGGAAGAGTTTTGTGGACGCCATCTCCCTCCAGGTGGACATCATTTCCAACAGCCTGCCAGACAAGGTCTGACTCATTTCACAAAGTCTCTCATGAAAAGATTAAAAACGACTTTTAAAGCTGATTCATGTGAAAAGTTCCCACTGAATCACATTGTCTGGGTTTCTCCCTTCAGCAGTCGGAGCTGGCTGAGGAGATTACGTTCGAGACTCTGAAGAAGGCCATCGGTGAGATCATCCAGCTCCTCCGTCATCACAGAAACTAATTCTGTTCATTTATACGTTGTGACAAACTCATATCACAACCCTTCTGTTTGGACTCATGTCTCCACTTCCACTGATGTTCCTGAGGTTTTGTGAGCATTTATTTCCAAACAACCTGCTGCTTCACAGTTTCTCTGACCTTCGATAAATGTGGGTTCATTAGTTTCAGGTTAGCTAACAGAACCTGATGGCTGCTTTTCCCCATGAATGTTACGGTTGAACTCATTACTCAGTCGATGTTTCTGCTGTTTCTATTTCACCAAATTGTGTTGAGTCAGAACCCGACGTCGTTTTCTGGTCTCACGCAGATACGACCGGCTTGGAGGAGCAGGAGAGGGAGAAGAGGCGTCAGGTGATGGAGAAGTTCCAGAAAGCTCCGTTTGAGGAGATCGCTGCTCACTGCGAGTCCAAGGTGGAAACCGGGACGGTTAACAGAACCTGAACATGTGGTTTGGTGATGGAGAACCGGGTCCGAAAGCGTCTCCTGACTCTCCTTCCTTCCTGCAGGCCAACTTGCTCCAGGACCGCCTGGCTAGATCTTTGAGCTCACCATCCGGTAAGTCTTGGTTGAGATCAGGATCTGCAGCATGAAGCCACATTTCAGGATCCCAGAGATCATTTTGATCATTCAGCACCAAATATTAGTGAATACGCCAAAGATATGTTGGTCAACGTAAACTAACGAGAACGATGAAGAATTTAGATATTCTTCATGTTCATATTTATTAACCTTTGAACTGAAGTTATTTATGATGAACTTCATGTTCCTCCCATTTAAACCTGTCAGCAAAACAGCAAAAGTTTTGACTAAAGGCCAAAGTCGGTTCAGTGATTAACGTTTAAATGTCTCCTTCTGTTGATTCTCCATTACCCATCAATGTAAACATAACACAATGTTATTTATTTGGCACCTAAAAATTAACCACAGTATTAAAAGCTGAAACTATTATTATAACTAATTAAAACTAAACAGCATTTAAATAAAAACAACAAATAAAGATCACCAATCGCACTTTAAAAACCAATTAAACCTAATTTTTATGACAAAAGTCATTAAAAAATGAAAGTAAGAGTCAGAAACTGATTCCCTGGTGATAAACCAGTGAAACCAGTTTGGATGTTTTCTCCTGATGATGATGATGATGATGATGATGCGTGTTTCCCCGGCAGGCCGCCGCCCAGCCCGTCCGGCGTGGTTTCCATCTCGGCGGGTCACACCCAGCATCCGTCCATTCCCGTCTACGAGATGAAGTTCCCGGATCTGTGCGTCTACTGAGCCGCTCGGACGTCAACGAGGGCAACCTCAGCTTTTCCTCCAATCAGCACGCCGCCAGGCGGCAGGGAGCCAATCAGAGACTCGGACATGCGGCGGGCTGAACCGGCCGCACGTCGTTTCTCCGATTCACGTCCCTGAACCCAAACGGTCGAATACAACAAAACCAGAACAATGCAAACCGCTTTACGCTCCTCGTTGATGTCGATGCTTAAGCTTCACGCTGTGTAGAAAAACTAAACGATCCTGTTGGATCCAAACCGCCTGCAGGTTTTACCAGCTGATCGATCGTCTGTATTGACTCAGAAAAACACGAAAAGCAATCAGTTCAAACGGCTCATGGTTGGTGAAACGGATCCAGCTTTTATTCCTGAAGCTTTTCAAGGATTTGAAGATGAACAAAATCAGAACTTTTACAATGATTCTTGGATTAAAATTTGGCCAAATTTGAAATGTTAGTATTGTCAAATCCAGGAAGTCGGTGAAATGGGATTTTGTCTGGCAGATTTTCCAGGAATAACTTAGAAATAAACTCAATTAGTTCATTTTTCTGAAGCAAAGTCGAGAACAAAATGATAAAAATGTTCAGTTTTAAAATGACATGCAAGTATAATGAATGTTAAAATGAATGTAATTCCAGTTTAAATCTGCCCTCTGTGTTCAGACACAAAACAGCCACTAGAAGTGTTGGTGTGAAATTACTTCATATTTAGGTTTTTAAGGATAAAATAAAACCTTTACATATTTCACTGTCTGGTGAAATATGATGAAATATTTTAGGTCTGATGGAAGAAATATGTCTTTGGATTTTAATGTTTGACCAAAATAAGCAGAAAAGCTTCAACATTCTGCATCATTAAGCAGAATTATCAAGAATTACAGACTTTATTAACCTGGAAATAAAAATCCAATATGGCTGCCACGTATTTAACCAAGTGGAAGCCATCATTCATTTTTTTCCACCCATCGCCATCATGCAGTTCAGCACAGGAACCACAGGGGGCAGCGCATCACTATTTACGGACTTAAAGCTTTAGCTTGGTGGCTACTGCCTGACCAGCTAACTGGCTAATGATGCTACGGCTCTACCGAAGCGTTTACTTCTAGTTCTCGGTTCACCAGGCGAGTTGGGATTAAAACATCTGGATTATTTCCAGATTATAAAATGTGATCAACCCTTTAAATCAAAGATGCATCGATATTCCTGGATCTTCTTACAGCTGGTTTAAAACGCTGGAAAATCTTAGAGGTTGTTGTCATGGCTGCTAAACCCAAGAGTGTAAAGTTTTTCGAAGTGGGTCGGTTCTGAGTGTGGAGGTTCCTGAGGTTCTGGTCGGGCTGCAGCTGGTTCTGGTTACCAGAACATTCCTCTGGTCTGATCAGACATGAGCAATCGATCCGGGGCGCATCCAGCTGGATCAGAACCGAATCGTTTCTGGTGGTTCTGTACGTTGAGCTCGGATTCCTGAACAGTGAAATTTGATGGTTTTTATTCACCAACCTGAGCCTGTTAAAGCATTGGATTCATTACTTTAACTAGACCCATACCAGCAGAACATCTGTGGGAACGTATTCAGAACGAACCGCTGAGTTCGGGTCCAAAAGATGGAAACGGATTAACATGGGAGTTCCTGAAGGTGCAATACCAACCATGACCACTAGGGGTGGGAGCCCTTATTGACTAAAGTTAAAGCAAATGAACTGACAGGTTAATTAATATTAAAGTTAATCCAGTTTAGTTTCTGAATTAAATCTATAGTGAATATTTTTCAGTGTTTCTCGACGTTCAGCCTGGTTCTTCTCCACCAGAGGATTTCCAGAATCTAAAGTTCTGGGCGGTTTTTACCTGAGATCCCCAGAACTTCAGGTTCAGTTTGTAATCTGAGGTTCTGGTCGAGGACGGGCTGCTGTCCGGCTGCCAAGAGTTTGATCACAAAGCATCGACATCAGTCTAGTAATAATTAATTAGTAATAATTGATCTGTGCAGGTTCGGATCGTCCACCAGCTTCTGTACAGAAACCTGATCCAAAGCATTCAGATCCAACTGGAGCAAACTGAGCCGTTTGTGAAACCCGATCCGTCCAGAACCCGACGGTTTACCGCCTGGCCGGGTCCGGCCCGGTGACTGGCTGGTTTGAGACGTGGCTGGAAAACGTGATGAATGTTGCTGACTCAGCAGATGGTATATTTTTGTACATTTCATGCTTCAGTTGCTGCCTGGTAGATTTCAGACATATCATTGAAAAAATGCTGAATCATTGAAAAAATGCTGAATCATTGAAAAAATGCTGAATCATTGAAAAAATGCTGAATCACCGTTTCTTGTTGTTTGTCGTCGCTTAGCAACTGAATCCAATCACGAGTCTGTCTCTAATCGTAGCGATTATTTTGATGAAAATTAGCTCTTATAGATTTTTAATTTCGGTCTAAACATTTTATTTAATTGGTGTTTTGGTCAGAAATCACCAGCAGACCCCCCCGGTCCCCCACCGGGGTTCAGATCACTCTTTGCTTTTTGCACATAAAGTTTGTCAGTATTAGTTGCTGAGTGGAGGAGAGATCAGCTCTGTCAAACCCAAATGGATCGCGGTTCCCCTTGTTTGCACTTAAAACGGTTCTGAGGCACAAAAACGGTACGAATGGAAAAGTTTTTACTCTGAATGTTCAGCTGGTCGACCTCGAGGCCCGATTGGACCGGCCTCACTGCGGGACGCCGCCGGGATGGCGCCGCCTCGTTTCATGGTCTGGTGCAGCCGTCTGTGTCTTGTTGTAGAGAAACGTCTCGTCTCTGTTCACCTTCAGAGTTGTTAATCAGTGAGTTATGACCACTAGGTGGCGCCGAGGCTCAGCTCTTCCTGCAGGTTCAGGAAATGATGTCGTTTTGGTTCAGGGCTCTCTAAGCTGACGGTGGATGTTTGGGTTTTCTCTTCTCGTTTCCTGAGCTGCAGCAGAGCCTCGGCGTTTCCATCACGTCTCACAATGTGTTGAAATTTAAGATTCAAATTAAAAGTTTCTATTGAAGCATTTCATTCGCAGTGTTTTCTGTGGTTGGTTTAGTTTTCTTCCTCCTCCTCCTCTTCCTCCCCCGGTCTGTCCGCCGGGACTCGGTCTTGGTTCTGAATCCCACCGACCGTCTGCAGCTCTCTGGTCTCGGCTCCAGATGGTCCAGCAGGAGTCGGAGTCTCTTCATTCATTACGTCAGAACTTTCATCACTGCAAACAATAAAACAGTAAAAAATAATTCCAGCATAAAGGAGATTTTAATAAAGGAGATTTTATCTCCCAGTGCAGGTGAAGCTCAAGCTGCTTGTCAGTTCTTCACTAATGGAACATCAGAAACTGGACCGAAGAGGTTTGCTGCCCTGAACCCGAGCAGTCGGCCCTGAGCTGCTCCACTCTCACCTGTCTGAATCCTGAGCAGAACTCGTCTCGGACCGGCTGGGTTTGCTCTCCTCACCGGACCGGGCCGGTTCCGTCGGGGGCCTGCCGGCTGGGCGGCGCCGAGCCGCTGCAGCGCTGCGACGGCAGGATGTGGTTGAAGTGCGCTGCAGCCATGCACCGCGCTGTGGTTTTGTCACACACAGTGACCCCCTGACCTGCAGGCGGAAACGGCGACGATTCAGATTCTGGACGACGTCGGATGGAACTCAAAATGTCCTGATGGACAAAATGTTTTCACAGCAAACATCCTGTGAAATATTAAAGTTCACCAGAAATAAAGTTTTTCCTGTAAGAGAATCCTCTGAACTCCTGAGGTTCTGGTTCTGGTTCTGGTTCTGGGTTCATAGCAGGAAAGAACCTGCACTTCTTATAACAGCATTAAACTGAAAGGATTCTTTAGGTCCAGTTTAATGATGTCTGACTTTGCAGAAAGGAACCGGTTGGTCCTGGGTTGAACTCACTAAACGCAGCCTGTGGGGTCAAAGGTCACACGTTACAGAAAGCAGGTTCCAGGCTCAAAACTGCAACGATGCAGAAAAGAAAAACAGTTTAAAGGCATTTTATAAACCTGAAAGAAACCTGGGAGTTTCTGCAAACAGAGAAAAAATGCAATAGAAACCTGTCAAAGCAGCGATGCATTCTGGGAAAAAAAACTTTACTGAAGCTGACCTGTTGCTTCCCAACAAGCTTCATAAAAGTGACCTCTAAATACTTTTATTTTGAAACAGGTCTGCCTCCCTGTGTTGTAAGCAAGCAGCTGCATTACAACGTTTCATCAGCAGCTTCTGATTTATGCTGAATATGAAAAACTTGGACGGTAAACTGACTCACATCGCGGTTTGTTGCGGCTCTTGCAGGAAATGTGAGCGTTGAGCTTCCTGTCGGCGCGGCAGCCCAGGGATCCGACCTGCTTCAGGCAGCAGCGATGGAAGAAGCAACATCAGATGAGGGAAACAGAAAAATGATGAAAAATGTTAACCTGAGAACATATGTGCTTCCAAAAAACATCAGAAATACAGAAAAAACCAGGAACAAGAAATGGGTTAAAAGACACCAACTAGATTTGATTTTTAATTTAATGTTTCTGCATTTAAGAATCAATTTTTCAACTTTTAAAAACATTGAGCAATTTCAAAAAAGGCAAAAATCAAAATCAGTAAAATATTGAATAAATGAATTTAATTTTATCTATTTTTGAAGGCACTCTGAGGTGGGATTTATTAAATAAATTCCCATGAGGCCGTGCGGACCTGTCCAGCTGGTCCAGAGGAAGTCCCGCCCCTTCCTGTCCGCAGTAGCAGCCGTACATCTGCTCCCTGCGGCTCCGCCCACCGCCACTGCTGTACACGCTGAAGGAGGAGGAGCTGCATTCTGATTGGACGAGACATTCAGCAGCTCATGTGTTAAACGCCTCACCGCCGGCGTCCTGAGGTCGGAGCTGCGGCTCACCTCGGCTGCTGGATGTCGGTCAGACTGACGGCCTCCAGCAGAGACCAGGCGAAGAACAGCACCGCCCTCTTTGGACCTGGCTCCGCCCTCTTTGGACCTGGCTCCGCCCCTAATGACTCTGTACTTCTAACTTTGTAGCTGGCAGCCATCTTGGTAGGCATATGGAACTGTCATGGCAGTTGGAATAGAATTATGGTTCATCTAAGTCTTGTGCTGCGCTGCCTACCAAGATGGCGGTTCAGTGACTTCAGGTTCACTTCTGGTTTTATGTATGAAACCCTGAGCTGCGTCCTGTTTGACAGCCGTACCGTCTTCGTCCTCCTCTTCTTCCTCCTCCTCCTTTTCCTCCTCCTGTGTTGTGTTTCATGTCATAAAAACAAATCAAGCTCATTGAAAATAGAAGGAAAAATAGGAGCAAACTTCTACCCAAAAATTCTTCTAGGGTTTTTTTGGAAGATTTTCAACTTGAAACTCAGAAATTTCAGCTTTTTCAAATTGTAAAGATTTTTTAAAGACTTTGGAAAATCTGGAAAAAAAAGTTTTCAAGCAAATTTTAAACATTCTAAATTTCTGAGATTAATCTCAGATGTTTTTGGTGATAATTTACTCCTTTGTTTTTCTATCTACATTTTCCTTATTATGCCGTTTGCAATATTATAGAACAGCAGTGCGTCTGTGTAGGTGAAATTACCCTCCAGGCCACTAGGGGAGTCTAGTGTGGCTAAAATCACATCTGTCAACATGCTGCAGCTCAGTACAGTGACAGACTGAGTCCTGTTAAATCAGGCATGCTGTCATTAATTAGGTCAAATCCTGTAATATTTGGTTGCTGACTCCCCCTAGTGGTCTGGAGGACTGAAGGAAGTTTGCAGAATTTTCCCCTTTTTCTTCCATTTCCTGCAGTATTATTTGTTTTGGAGTTTTTATCCTTCATGTGTTTTGCAGCCGTTGACAGATTTATCTTCCTGAACAATCGAACATCATGATCTGATCCTCAGCGCGTCTACAGAAGAAACAGGAAGTACTAGTGACCCTGAGATGACCTCTGAGATGACCTCTGCCCTGCTTCCTCCTCTGAAGGTGCAGCTGGAGCAAATGTTAAGCTCATTCACTGCTGGCAGCATATTAAAGTTTCTCCTGATGAGTGCCAGGATTCCCGGAGCCTCAGGGCGTCGTTACAGACGCAGTGGAGAGGAAAACCGTTTCTCCACCTGCTGCAGGTTTTCATCAGGGAAACGGCGCCGATGACCCGGCAGTCAGAACCTGATTTTATGAAGCTGCAGTCAGAACCTGCAGATTGTGCTGGACATGATGGGAAAAGTAAATCTCAGCTCACTTTATTCCATATCCAGACTGAGTTTCAGTGATGAACCAAGTCGGACATTACATCAAATGTTTATCATCAAATGTTTATCATCAGATGTTTATCATCAAATGTTTATCATCAGATGTTTATCATCAGATGTTTATCATCAAATGTTTATCATCAGATGTTTATCATCAGATGTTTATCATCAAATGTTTATCATCAGATGTTTATCATCAGATGTTTATCATCAAATGTTTATCATCAGATGTTTATCATCAGATGTTTATCATCAAATGTTTATCATCAGATGTTTATCATCAAATGTTTATCATCAGATGTTTATCATCAAATGTTTATCATCAGATGTTTATTATCAAATGTTTATCATCAGATGTTTATCATCAGATGTTTATCATCAAATGTTTATCATCAAATGTTTATCATCAAATGTTTATCATCAGATGTTTATCATCAAATGTTTATCATCAAATGTTTATCATCAGATGTTTATCATCAAATGTTTATCATCAAATGTTTATCATCAGATGTTTATCATCAAATGTTTATCATCAGATGTTTATTATCAAATGTTTATCATCAAATGTTTATCATCAGATGTTTATCATCAGATGTTTATCATCAAATGTTTATCATCAGATGTTTATCATCAGATGTTTATCATCAAATGTTTATCATCAAATGTTTATCATCAAATGTTTATCATCAGATGTTTATCATCAAATGTTTATGTAACTGAAGCAACTGTATTTTTATTTGCATGGGTTTTCAGTGGTTTGAGCATTTCTTGTTTACCGGCTCCATCCAGCAGCGAGTTCCTCTGAGATGCTGTGCTGAGACCCGACGGCGCGGCGCCAGCAGCATTATGGGATGTCTGATCCATCCCATAATAAACACCAGCAGGGCTCCATGGAGACGGCGGCCCGTTGGGGGTCGCTCTTTCATGGACCCACTGGACCTGATCTGCAGCAGATCCAGAACATTTCAGTTTTAAACAGTGGGAAACGTTTCATCATCCTGAGCAGGGGAGCTCCTCTGGGCTGTGTGCTTAGCCCCGCCCCTTTCACACTTCAGACCAATCACCGCTCAAACGAGGCGACGATCCGGTTCTGAACACCAACACAACAAAGACTATTGTTGTTTGACCAGCCTCCTAAAAATGGTGAGGAAATGGAGGCTGTTGACGGCAACAGAAAACCTGAGATCAGCTGTTAGCGCCTCCTGGAGAGGAAAAGAATCACTGCAGCTTTTCATTCAAACTCAGAAACAAACATTTCACTTTTACTTCTGAGCATTTCTGACCCAATCAGGAGGATTTAGAAAAACTTTAACGAACATCTGTAACAAACACACGTTAGCATGAGCCTCATAAAAACATGTAACATGAAAACGCTGCAGGAATCAGTAACAATGGATCCATCTAATGAAGACAGACTGGTTTCCATGTTTTATCTGGCTCACCAGGACCCGATGGACCCGATGGACCCGATGGACCCGATGGACCCGATGGACTGACTTTTGCAGGACTCTGGGTCGTCAGGTCTTCAGCTCGGTCCTCCCAGTCCATTTCTCTTCTTCTGCCTCTTCAAGGCCTGGAGATGCAGAGATTGGAAACGTCTGAGGCAAGTGAGTCACTGAGTGGGAAGAGAAATGAGTTCTGGTGCCAGGAAATCTGTGGGACCATCAGGTCCAAATGGAAAAAGACCCAGAAAATAAAACCAGGAGCTTTAAACCATCAGAGATCAAACTGTGGAGTTTCTGCTGCCGTTTCCTCCGACTCTGCAGGAAAAGATTCACATGCAGCGAA